TGTGTCGAGGTTGTATGTTTTGTATGACTGAAAAGATTTTAACTCATCAAGCAAGCTTTCATCCGTTTAATGGAAATATCTAGCTTAAATTTGAAGCTTAAAGGTAAATACCAACGTATTCCCCGGGGGAATCTTCCAGCACTTATATTCAATTTAACGCAATTTTCTCTGCGGTAACAGATGCTCTGTTTTACACCCACAACACTCCCCCGAGGTGTGATTTATGCGCATAATTAGCCAGAAATTGCATAAGATTAGTTTTAATTAGTTGGAGCAACTTTTGTGCAGAGCAGCCACAGCCAAAAATGCTAAATAAATAACTTGACTGCAGTTGAGCCGTAGCCAAAAGCCAAGAAACTTCCACATCCGGCGTCGCTGCGTGAGCAGCAAGGACTCTTCCACTCCTCTACACGGCTAAAGTGCAAGGAGCCTTCGGCGAAGGAAATAAACAAAAACTTTATCGCTCGAAGCCCGAAAAAGCAGCCAACATTTTCTCACTTGTGGTTGGCTCTCCATCAGAGATGGTGAGAAATACATTATTGTTATAAAGATTTATTCCATTTTTCTCAACTTTCTAAACTAAGCTTTAACAGAGCTTTTGTAGCCCAAATTTCATAAGTAAAGTTAAGCATTATTTCATTGATTTATACCTTTCAATAAATGATATATCTTTAAGAAAAGCTGACAATTGGCATCACTACTGGCTGTAGCCTTGGTAGTTGCTACAGCTCTGGCTTCGTCTGTGGCCAAATGTTCGCGCATTATTTTTCATTTGCATTGCGTCATTTGTACAGCGAGGGAGGTGACTCAAGGAAGGGAGGCTCACCAGCAGGAGTGCTCCAAGAACCACTGTCTGCTCGGACTGCTAATTTATGGTGACCCCTTTAGGGGTGGAGTTCCTCGTTCTACGTGGCTGTTGCTCTTCGTCCGCCGTAGTTGATTGCCAAGGCGACCACGAAACGTTGCCCGGGCAACAAATAAAAATACAGAAAACAAAAACAAAAATAAAAACAACTATAAGTTTTTCACATATATTTTAAAGTGTTTGGTGTACACGTAATCGAGAGGTGTTTTTAATTGCCGGTATAACAAATATACAGACATTTCCACTCCCACGATAATTGTTGCTGTGAAAATGTAGTGTGAAATATGGCAAAAGCGTTTGGGTTTTTGTTTCGTATACATAATTTCGCCTTATAAAATAACTTAATTATTTAAATAAGGAATTATAATAATGTATGTTGTTTTAAATATATTTTACAGTGATGATTTTAATCAATTAAGAAATTCATTTCACTTTGTAAAATCTTCTTTATAACAATAAAAATTGCAGAAATTCCCACTCTTATAAAGATATAAAATAGTACAATTAAATTCTTGGCATTTTCTAAATAAAATAACCTTTCTTATATTTTTTTAATTAGCTTTTTTTGGTCCCTTCACTCTTTGTTGCAATTTCAAAAGCGATTTGGCTGTCCGCCAGCAAAGTCTTCCCTTTGTATGTGCACCATATAAACGGACTTTAAAGCCAATACCCGTTTTTATGGAAAACTTTCGACTGGGAAAATATTTGCCAAAGTTTGCCTGAAGAAGACTACTTTCTTGTTCGTCTTTTAGTCGTTAGAAGTGTAAACAGCGTCGAGGCTTGCTCCACAACTATGGCAACTATAGCCGCCTCTTGTGGCAAGCTGCATACATACACACACACAGAGACGCGGTCCACGAGGACCCCATTTCCTTCTCACCCGATCCTTCCTCCCCGCCAAGTATCCATGTTTGGTCGCTGCACTTTTCGCCAACTTTTGTAAAGCACTCACGTACGCACAGGGCTGCAGCGGCGATGCATGTGAGCGTGCGAAACGTGCTGGTTGCCAATTGTATTGCGTAAGTGTGCGGCATTGGGGACACTGCACTGAGAGAAAATATTTCATAAATTGGTAGAGATTTAAGGATTTTTTTAAAGTGAAACTTAAACGTTTTGAACTGCTCAAGGATACCAGAAAAAAATTTAAAAGATCGGAGAAACCTTAAATAAAAGGTATGGCACGGAAATAATGTACTTTTTGAATACAAATTCTTTAGGTGCTACAAATCAGTTTAAATACAAAGTGCATTTCCAGTATTTTCAGAACACTCTACAAATTTCAAATCATTTAAAACTAAACCGTTAAAAAAACTATATGTATATACCATGAAAATTGTATACTTTTTTCTCTCTGCTTGAGAATTTCCAAGTCCTGAGGTCTGGAAAGGCAGTCAGACTTTGAAAGGAAGTGCTGAACCGACTGTCAAGTGGCGAACTCATGGCGTAATCAAATTATTTCCATGCCCGAGCCTGCCGGCCCGAATCCTGGGCTTACGGAGGTCATCATGTGTGTTAATTAATTCCAGATGCTCAATGCTCCGGCTCTGACCCACTGACCAGACAGGCATCAGGAGGCGCGCGTGTGTGTCCACTGATCAATTATGCTAACGAGCGGCAGCAACAGTTTCGCCCTCTCCTATTTTGTTGGCATTAAAAATTGAGCAGCCTAGAGCAAATGTGAGCGGGAATGACAGCAGAGACACGTGCCTGGCGACTAAAATCAGGCCAGGTGATGCCGGGAAGTCGGAATCCGTATCCGGATGACTTGCAAATGATTTTTTTCTTTGCTTAAATTCAAGGGAATGTTGTGTTTAAAGTGTGAGGAATACTTATAAGGAATTGCCACAGAAATCACTATGGTTTTGAAAGCCCCTAAGAATAGGTCTAGAAGTAAGCTTTAAAAACTTGCAGTATTTAAATGAAAAGTAATTTTTTAAGTATATTTTTCAAAGCCTTCTAATCCTGTTGCTCCCTTGTTATTTTACAACAGTGAATCTATTTCAACAATTGTCTCCTATAAAATGTAGAATGCTTTGTTTAAATTTAATTGAAAACAATTCTCGGTAAATAGAATATAAAATATTTATTTATTTACGGCAACCAGAGAATCCTCACTACAAAATGTATGCAAATAATTGTTTTTACCAGCTATAAAGCTGTTTAATTAAATTCACACAGCAATTTTCCACTGGCCAAACTTAAACGAAATTGGCCTAATTCCCTGGCACAAAGCAAACGAAAATGTTGAATTAAAATTAAAACTCATGCCGGCCACAAAGCAAAGACAATCCCAGCTGGCCGTCCGTCTGCCGACCACAAAAGAGTCCCTGGGAAAGGCTACCCAAACCGAACCGGCCGAAATGACATGCGGACTGTGGCCAGATGCGAAACTGGGTGAGAATGCGGTTGGCTTCTGGGCGCATAAACATTCGCATATGACTGCCGGCTGGCGGAGGAGGTTCTTCTAACGTTACGCTACACCTGCTGCACTCCGTAAGTGGCCGGCACAGGGAGCAAATTGAATTTGCCATGGGGGCGGATACGGAATGTACGGGGGGCAGCAACCGGGCCACCGGATATCCGCTGGGCGTTGAGGCGGCCTCATGTAATATGCAACAGCCATTCTCATTCTGCCCGGCGAACCACTGCTCTTCCGCTCTCGCTCGCCGGCCGTGTGGCCGGATTCAGGTCGCACCGAGCACAATTGAATCCTTCGACCATTCCATTCCACACAACCCATGCAGCGCCAATTCAAATTCCGCTGAATATTTTCCGACTGCAGTTACCAGCTATGGAATTAGATTAGATTAAGTCGGGACCGGAGGTCAAGTCTATTAGGAATTTTAAATGCAATTTGCGCTTATCAGGCGCGAATGGGTTCGTTGTTATTTCTCACAAAACTGAAGATAATTCTCATATACTTTAATCTGGATTAAAAATTAAAATGTGAATGGTAGTATCCTGAGAGGTATTATTATTTTTCACAAAGCCAACGAGAGATGAAAATTTGTTTCTATTTTGTTTGGGTATTTGCTAAAACATCCAACAACTACACGTGCATATCCACAATATTCTTTTGTATTTATATACACATAAATAATTTTAAGCAAAACAACTTGACAACTTAAGTCTTTGTTGTTTTGTTCTCTAACTTGTTAGCATGGCTTTCCAATTAAAAAAGTTAGTTTAATCTTTTATAACACAAACTTTTCTCAGTTTAAATCGACCACAATTGTATCAACATTTTTAATTTATAAATAAAATGTACTACTTTATAGAAGACTCTGAATTTGTATTCAATATCAAGCCAGCTTGATTTAAATTGAAAATTCGAACATTTCACACATTTCTAGTCAAGGACAAAGATACCTGTATCCCAAGGGAAGCTTATCTTCCTCAGCAGTAAAATGTATTACACAAAAGCCAATCAGGGGATAATTTATGCTCATTAATGTCGAATGTTGTGTAAAATATGATAAGAGGTCCATAAAAATCGGTATAAATACATTGACCATTTACTTAATACAAATACATAAAATATCTGGGAGCCTTTGTTTTGAATTTGCTTTTTTTTTACCCGTTAAACACTTTATCGATTATGATTACGATTTATTATATTTATTTAAAAATATATCTCTTTTTTAATGTCTACTGTAATTATCAATATCTAAAGAGTAATACATAATATCAAGGGGTTTGAAATTTCTTAAAAAGTAGTCCACTGTTACATCATAAAATAACAACTTTACTGAAAATTTCTACCTTAAATATTGCATGGCATGCTTTTGACAACTTTTTAAGATATTTGAAAATCTCAAAACTCTTTGAATACATTTAAAGTCTGTTCTGAACTTCTGAAATCATGATCTACTTCGATGTGTTTGTTTTAATTTCCTGTACAATTTATAATCAGATGGCACTCTAGTGGCTTTTGTGCACCTTAGATCGTACTTACTGTATGCAGTTGTTAACATTATCCTTATGTAGGTATTATATATGTAGCTCTCCGCACTTTTTTTAGATGATTGCTTTTCGTATACTCTTCGTATCTCTGCAGCATCGACTCTCCTCCTGCGTTCTCTTCTTCAAACTCATGTTGTACATTTGTTTTCTTCTACTTTCTTTCTTTTTATAGCTTCAAGCTAAGCAATAAATAAAAAAAACAAACGTAGTAAATGAACAAACGAATAAGAGCAACTAAAATCCAAATCAAAATCAAAACAAGACATACATAATATGTAAATTGGTGTGCAATAAACAAACAGAAAACAAAAAGGGTTGCCGCTGCAAACAACAACAATAACAACCAATACAACAACAGCAACAAACAGCAAAGCAACAACAACAACAACCAGTATAACTATAAACAACAACAGAGTTACAGCAACAAAGAACAAGAACAACAACCAACAGCTCTGCTAGTAGATACAAATACTTAATGTAATATTTAACATTTTTATTGTCGAGGCACCCAAAGCAAAGTTGCATATTTTGCATAGTAGACTCTTAGGCGCCGCACACAAAACCAAAACCAAAACCAATACCAATACCAAAAACACAACAACAACAGCATCAACATCAAGTGCAACATCTGCAAGCAGAGCAATCTGCATACAAAGCAACAACATCCATCCGAATCCGCAAACAAGAACATCCGCAATCCAAGCAATTCAGACAACCACCATCGCCTCCTCCACCACCACCACGAACCACATGAGCCTGAACAAGATCAAGAAGCGGGACGCGAGCGACTTATGACTGATGCGCTCCAAGGGCAACGTCGGCGTCGTCAACGTCGGCGTCGCCGTTGGCAGTGGCAGCCGGTACAAGGTAACGGCCCGCTGTGTCCCGGAGGTGAGCATCACCTCGCCAACGAGCGCTGGATTAGCCGGATCCGCCGGTCATCAGCCGGCCATCCAGCCGAAGCACTTTGCCCTGCTGCGCAGTCGCTCGCAACCGTCGCCGCCGACGTCTAACAGCCTTTTCTCCACGCCTCCAGGCGGCGCCACTCTGGTCGAGGAGGAGGATTTCAGCTTGGCCAGCGGCAGTGGTTCGGCAGGGGCCAAGAACGTGCTCCAGCGCCAGCTGGCCACCACCGTCCAGCAGGAGGATCCGGAACTGGACCACATTGCGCAGGATCCGCACAGCAAGTTGCCCGAGGCCGGTGAGCCGCCGAATGAGCTGACTCCCTTGGTGGAGGAACCCGGCTTCGTTGCGCCCGCCACCTCAACCACTCGTTATAGCCACAACTCGAAGACCACCCGCTCCTGGCCAGTGATCTACCGCAATCCGCATCACTGCGATTACGAGGCGCTCTACGTCCAACAGCAGCAGCAGCAGCAGAGCTTCAAGCAAAACTGCTACTCCAACCAGTTCAAGCAGTCGATCGTCTACTCCAGCAGCAATGAGGAGCTGCCCGGCGCAGAGCAGCAGCCGGTAGCAGCCTCGAGCTCCGACAACCGCCAGACCACTTGCTACTACTTCGCCCCCAGCCGGCACAACAGCATTTATGAGCACCCCTCCTCGGTGGTCGGGGGATCCCTGCAGTTCGATAATCCAACCACCACCCAAGCAGCGGCAGCGGCGGCCGTCGAGAGCCTGAGGCGGAGCAACAGCATCCTGTTGCGCCAGAATAGCTGCGCCAAAGTCATCCAGCGGCGCGGCAGTGGTAGTGGATCGCCCACCTCGTTGGGCTCGCAGATGGAGGGACTGGGCATGGGCATGGGCGGCGGAGGAGCGGGCAGCGCCTGCTGTTCCACCTGCTGCATGGGTCCGCCGCCTGTGCTCTTTTTGTTTGTCACCCTGCTGATGACCACCAGCGCCACGGCGATGCTGTGTGCAGCCATCATGACCGACCACTGGGAGCACGTGACGTGGGACCGCAACAGCCTCGATCGTTACTCGAATCGATCGGGTCTGCACCTGGAATGGCTCCTGGATGACCAGGTGGCCATGCTCAAGCCGGACAAGAGGGGTGAGTGAGGCATTGCTAACTAAGTATTCAGAGTAATGCTGACCTTTTTTTCCCACAGCCGATCATCGTTTCCGGCGCGACTCTGTGTTCCTGGTGCCCATGCACGGCGGCATCTGGACGCTGTGCATCGACCTGCCCATGCAGCAACTGCAGGAGCTTCGTCGTAATCCAAAGTTTCCGCGCGGTGCGCCACCGTGTGTCAACTACCTGGCCGGCTCCATGGAGAATGCTCGCGGAGAGGAGCAGCGCAACGACTGGCAGCACAGTGAGTCACAGGTCACTCTGCAGCCGCATCTGAGTACGTATCCTGGGGGCAATCCGAGCGTGAATCCCTCTCCAAATCCACTTCTCTCTCTCTCTCCGTCCCCACACTCTCTCACACGTAACTTCTTGAGGCAATTTCCCGTATATTTCTGCTTTCCTTAATCGTTTCGTTTCTTCGTTTAATACAAAAACATTATTTTATATACTTTACGCACTTAGCACTAATTGTGATTGTTACCTTACAGACTTATAGAGAATTTTGGTAGAAAACAGCAAACAAATAGCATAAATATGTAGGAGCGAGGGACAGGACAGTTGGTTGAATGCATGTGATTGGCATTAAGTAGCTGATGTGTGGCATGTTTGTGTTTGTGTTAGGGGCGTGGTTGTGGTTATGAGTGGGTGTGCCACCGCTGGGCAACTGGAATGTCCGCCCTAGACGGCGGGTCGCTTGGCCGGCGAGCATAGGGCCTCGGCCTCCGAGCTGGGCTCCTCGGGCTTCTTGCGCTTGATCAGATGGGTGATGTCCGTGGGCTTGGCCGAGCTGCTGCTAATGGCCGGCGAGGAGCCGGCTGCTTTAGCGCCGCCACTGGTGGAGGATGACGACGAGCTGGCTGCACCATTGGTGGATGTGGACGAGGAAGAGGCGGCGGCAGCATCGTCACTGCTCACCGGCCTTATGTAGCTGTCCAGGGCAGCGCGCACCTCGGCAATTGTCTAAATGAGAAATAGGAAACGTCAACTAAAGTTAACCAAATGAAAATGTCAAAAACGAACCTGAGCCTGCATCTCCTCAATTTCCTGTATCTTGGCCAGAATCTCCTGTTTGGTCTCCTCCAGGTCCAGCATATTGTTCCTGTCGCGCTCACTGGGCTCGTCCTTGGCCTTAATCTCGGCTATCTCCTCTTCGATCAAAGTGCTGGAGTGTCGCAGGGCCGTGGCACCCTCCTTGTTCATCTGTTGCATCAGATAGGTCAACCCGATCTTGTAGTGCAGCTCGGCCAGGGCGCGTCGGTTCTTTGTGGGCAACTCGCCGTGGATTTTGAGGGCTTTCTCTGTTGTAATAGAGATTTACATTAGTTAGGAGACTTGACTTCAGGAGGTATATTTATCAACCCCACTCACCGTAATCTTCACGTGCCGGCTCGAGTATTCCATTTTCGAATTCGATGTTGGCCAGCTCCGTCTGAACTTCGGCCAGATATTGGAGACCACCGAGGCCTTGACGCGAGAAGATCCTGGCGGCTGTGCCAAGGATCTCCCAGGCCAGCTGAAGACTGCCACTGACTCCCTCTTCATCCTCGCCGCCCTCCTCTTCGCCGGTAGCTGCTGCTCCTGCCCCATTGGAGCAACTGGCTGTGACTTCGCCTCCATTCGATGTGCTCGGTCGTTCATCATCATTGACAGCAGTTGTTCCACCACCAATGCTGCTGCTGACCTCATTTACCTCAGTCGGTGCCTTCTTCTTGGCGTCCTCGCCATTTGGCTGGACCTGATCATCAGTGGAATCGGCCTCGTCGGATGTCTCCTTGACGCTGTCCAACTCCTTGCCATTTGTGCTGCTCGCTCCATTGGCGTCGGCCTCTCCCTTTTTGGCTTCCCCATCTTCGCCACCTTCTTCCTCTTCCTCGTCGTCGTCGTCTATGTCCTCGTCTTCCTCATCGGCGGCCTCATCAGGCACATCAATAACTTTATTTTCGTCCAAGGCCATGGCAATCAATGCCTTGCCATAGCTGCAATTCATTTTTTAGATATTAATAAATATAAAAAGACTTTAAGCTTCATCTCCTACTCACAGGAGCAGGGGCTGCCCCAGCTCATCGGCCAGATCCCCGTAGACCTCCGCGTATAGCTGGCACACTTGACTCAGATCGTCGGCCGCCTCATCGTAGCTCTTCACCAGGAAGTTGCGCGATCCCTGGCTAAACAGCTCCTTGGCCTTAAGTATTTTCTCGGCGCGTTCCTGCTCGACTTGGCCGGATGTTTCCTCGGTGGAAACGGCTGCCACCACCGGAACATTGTCGGGGGTTGTATCTGCGGCTACGGGCTCCACGGCCACAGGCTTTCTGGGTGAGGACATATCGGCAGCAGCCGTTGTAACAATAGCTTCGGCTTCAGCAGACATATTTTCCTTGGACAGTTAACAAAAAGAACTGAAACACGAAGGAAATAATTCAATATTTATTCAAACTTTGAGCTTAACTAATATAAATGAAGGTTGAAATTAAAGTTTTATAAACAGGAGCAGATACAATCGAAAGTTTTTTTCGAATATATATTATTTTAAATCTTTTATTTTTACAATCACCTGCTGATTTTCCCGCCATTCCACACCCACTTCCAAATCTCCTTTGTAGGTTTGAGCCCTAGACCGTCACTTTAGATGTGCATGTAGAAGGCCACAAGTATTTATTTTTCTCCACAATTTTTGATAAATCGCATTTGTACGCACCGCCACGAACCACGAGCTTAAAGCGCCGCCACCTCACCTCGATTCATTTCACGTGGCTTAAAATTTTAGCTTCAAGCTGTCGCACATTTCACAAGTCATTACCGCAAATCCCATTCGGAGCAGCTCCAAGATGTGGGCGCACCCACAAATCCCTGAAGCACATCAGATAAAAAACAAAAGCAAAGGACAGACGGCACCAACAATGGCTGGTGGCAGGAACAAGAATGTAGTGTCCTTGTGGCGACTATATAAAGTAATTACCACAGCAGCTAACCGAGCTTGCCTCCGGTTTTCTATATTGTCAATACCGGGTTGTTCTACTGCTCCCCCCACTGCAGTGGCCAGCCATGTCCCCACAGATGAAACATGTCCGTGTCGAGAGTTGCATGCTCACGATAGGAACTTCCGGAGGCAGGAAGGAATGGGATATAGGGCTTCCATATAGGTCACCGTGTGGTTTGGTTGCTTTTCTGCTGCCTCCCCTGACTGCGTTCTAAAATCGCAATTGCCACTTTGGCTTTTTATGCTGGTCCTGTGGCCCCATAGCTCCCAGCAGCGATTTAATTGCTGGAGTGTCTATTGGGTAATTGGTTTTACAGTTGCCCAGATTGTAAGCGGAAATTGGAAAGCCGCCGAACCACAATGGATTTTAAGGCAGCTATAGAAAATGCAATCAAGTAGGGATTCACGAAAATTCGAAATGGAGTTACAATTGCAAGTCTCTTGTAAATAAGTGTGATTAAGGCTACTATTATAGCTTTAGGAATATTTTAAATAAAGGCTAATTAATCATTTTACTCATAACTCAGCTTCCGCTTAGCATCCTATCTCCATCCCATCATCCTTTGTATATTATGTCCCAACATCTTCAGATTATTGTGACAATCTAAATAATATAATATTGTAATAACCTTTCGTATCTGCGCCCTTAGGAATGCAAAATCTCTCCATATCCTGCTCATTGGTCTGCCTGATTATCCTGGGCAGCGCTGCTCTAGTTGGAGCCTTCGGCGTCTGTCAACGCCAAATTAGCGCCATACTCATCACGGGTGTGATGTATCTACTGGCAGGTAAGTGAAACTAATTTCTCCATCTTGAAAATCATTTGAATTAACTCTCGTTTTTAATTTCCCAGCTCTGTTTGCTCTATTCACACTGATGATCATCCACTTTAAGCGGCAGCAAGGACGTCCCATGCTGGACAGTGACTACGATGGAACCGTTGATGGAATTGTGGCGCGACCGGGTGGTGTGGCCATCATGGCCAAGCCCCTTCTGGGTGCGCGCATCTTCCTTACCTCTTGGAGCCTTGACCTCGGCTGGGGTGGAGTGGTGCTGTGCGCCATTACATCCGTACTGTGGATCCTGCTATCAAAGATCATGCGCTACAACCCATTCTCGGCGCTCATGATTTAGCTAAACGCCTTGCCGCTCGGCGTATACGGAACCAGCTACGGCAGCCTGGGCAGCTGCGAAAGCTACGGCAGCTATGGGAGCACCCATACCCACAGCGGCACTAGTAGCGGCGGCAGCTCCAGCTTCCTTCTGGCGGCCGTTTCGTCGACGCGGCAAGCTGAGCACCGGGGCAAGGGCAAGTACATCCTATAAAAGACTCCTGCCCTGTGTCCTTGCTTTGCTAATCTCAACTAATTGGATTTTCCTCCTTTCACAACTTGTTTGGGATAAAGTACTGCCGGGGATCTCAAACAATTAAAATGTTGAAGCCTAAAACTAATATTTTATCTTTGAAATCTGATTTAAAAACAAAAAAGTATTGAACGTTTGAAATGCTCGGCGGCACACCCCTTATCTTTAGTCCCCATTAGTTAGCTGTGTTGGAAATGTACCAAACTCAAACTCAATTGCCTTGTTCTTGATATATACACACACAAATTATACAACTTATACTTAATATTTATGCCCATTCTTATTGTACGGTGTACTTAACTTAACTTAACTAACTTTACTTAACTTAGCCCAATTGTAAATTCAATTTACACTCTATCTTTACAAGTAAACCCTTTTGTATACATTCGATTTGACTCTTATTCTAAATACACCACACACTAATACTAGCTGCATGAGCATGAAACATGCGAAATGTGAGACATTATATACACGGAGGACGGAATCGGAATCGAAGTTCCGCAAAAGCTTTGGCTTTAAAGTGCTTTCTAGTAACAGTTCGCTTGCCTAGCATTAATCAAGCCCAGCTATGTAGGGTATGACGGTAGCTTCAAATTAGACAGACTAACTGGAGGAGTCCTGGCGGTGAATATACTGTAGAAGATGCTTATACTCTTGACCTACTTAGACCTATAGGATCTGCAACCATTCTAACATTACCATACCATCCAGTTGGTTAAGTAGAAATTTAGGAGCTTGTCAAGACAGCGTAACGAGGAATTGTAGAACTTTACCGAGTACTTTTAGAGCTCCAGCAGTACAGAGATCAGTGCTTTAGGACAAATGGTTTACAAAACTTATTGTACTTGTATAGAAGCCACAACAAACCAAACAAAATGCTAAAAGTATCAACATGTATTTTTATGCAAACGCTTTGCCTTAACGAAAAAAGAAACAAACAAACAAAAACAAAAAACACACAAAAACAAATAAGAATATTATTTAAATACAAGAAAATCATTTCTTTTAAAAAGTTTAGGACAAGTGTTTTGGTTTTTATGGTGTTCTTGTAAGTATGAAAAATTAGCAAATTATCTTTGATGTGTTTATAAAATTTAAATAAATAGGCTTCAAGATCAGAGACTCTTTTAACGTCACGAGTGAAAGTACTTTATGTACACCATTTTAATTTTATTTAAAAAATATATTACATATTATGGCTGATTATTATTTTTTCGAGTAAAGTTAAATTTGTTATCCTTTTTATTCTGTGTGTACGACCAACTTGATCTATAAATAGCCCATGGACACATTTATGAAATTTCATTTAGCATTCAATTCTGTAAAAATTGTATTGCAAATTTCTCGCTTGCAGGTTCATTAACATTTGCCAAGCTGCTGTGGAAACAAATTAAGCAAACATGCAAATGAACTCGCAAAAAAATTGGCAAAAACGAAGGCGACACTTTCGCGGTATAAAAAGTATAAGAGAGAGTGAAAAGGCAGAACGAGGATTCTAGCATAAGAAAAACAGAGCTGCTGAAATGAAAACCGGCCGCGGAAAAGCACCACATGTGTGCGAGCGCAAAACGCGCGCGCTCTAAACAATTACAAAATTCGCACACACAACGCTGCGAAGCAGCAACAATTTGAGATTACAAAACAACGCAAAAAGGTTCATTCACCTGTGTGTGCGTTGTGTCTGCTTTTCGCCGTTACGCGTTTATGCGATCGCAGATGTCGCAAAGAGTTGTCTTCGCGAAGTGATCTGCAATAATGTGTATTTGGTTTCTTTCTAATCTTGATTATTAATACCTGATCTTATGAATATAAAAATTCCAGACTTATTATTTATGTTTAACGCTTGCCGAGCGTTATTTTTAATTTTGAAAAAATGTAAAACCACGCAAGCCTAAATTATACATTGGATGCCGAGTTCCTTTTTATTCATATTGCAATTTTTTTTTATTTATTTGTTAACGAAAACCGTAGAATCAAATGTCGCATAAACATTTTGCAAAAACAGTACGCTGGTGTGCGTGTGCGATTGCCGCCATTCGCCCGCGGTAACAAACACACCAACACTAGCGTACACCAACACCGGCACAGGCAACACAATTGGCCATTTAGTTAGCGCAAATAACAAACGGCACGTTTCGCATATTTATAGCGAAACAGAAATTGCGACAATTAATTAATGTTTAGCACATACAACATAGTAGCAAAAGCAACGGCACAGACAAAACGGGTCAAAACGAAATTCGCAAATTCGCGTGTCTCTGGTTGCCCGCCTCTGTGTGTGTGCATGTGTATGTGCCTGCATCGGCATTTAGCCGTAAAAATGGTGGGAAACTTACTTATTTCTCGATTAGGAGTATTGCTCTCAAAGCAATGGTATGTCAAATCAATTGATTTTCTATAATCGTAACACTGTAAACACCGTAAAACAACGCAAATGCTACAAATTCGCAAATAAAACCGACGATCCCGCGAAATGCTGGAAGTTTTGCAATAGTGTGACCACGCTGCAGCGCCTGAATATGCTCGAAGCAGAATCGAGGAACGGTCACTCTATTTTGGGGACTGCCAACTTCACTGAAGTATCGAATGTGAAAATAGTGCGTTTCCACCACATTGAAGTTACGATATTTGGTCGTTTTCCATACGGCTCAATATATTGCTCATAAATCGCGGATATATTCAGTAATTTTACATTGGGTGACAAAACTTTAATTATTTTAAAATAGACCATGATTTGTATGTATATGTATTTGTATAAATATATTTGTGTTCTTCTTATTAATAAAAATATGACTAAACAATATATAATGGTTGGTCTTTTGCGTGTGTCAACTCAAAAAAGGGTTTTCTTGATTTCAAGTATTCATGTACTCCGATTTTACTGCAATGCAACAGGGGTCCCTGACTAGGGGGTTCCCCAAAAATTTTATGGGAGAAAAAATGTTAAGGGGAAAGTAAAGGAGCTTTGTCGAAGTATGTATTATATTACTATTATAAAATCTATAAAAATATATCTTACTTTTGCCTATATAAACCCAAAACATCTTCATTAAACAAAACATCTGATTAATTTAAACTTTATCAGATTTTTTAGGGTAAAACCAAATGTGCATCTGGTAACACTGCTTCCCAACCGAATTCGCTTTCATTCGAATTTGAATTTCGAAACGGCAAAGACGTGCTCGTGTATACGGCTGAACTAAACCTTAGTTAAACTTTTCGATCTCGTACCGACACTAATGGGCAGCCAAACATTCGGGCAGTGCAATAAACACATTTAACAGTGCCACGCGACTAATGTTCAATTTGGGCCCTAATTTCATTCAGCAAGGCACAGTTCTACGCAGCCGAACCACCCTCGTAATTGTTAAATATTTATACACACCACCAACGGAACGCACGCATTAAGTATACGTACTTACAACGCGAGTGGCGCCAACATATGTAAAGCAGCGGCGATAAGAAAAGAACCAGCAACAGAGACGGAAAACGAAAGCGGCTACAAAAGAGGAGACACAATTATTGTAAGTAAATATCGAAGTTCTCTATATTCCCCTCGCTGCCATCTATTGATTTTTGTGTGTTTTGTGGCCCCCAAAGTTTTTGCCGCCTTCGCCTTGTTTTGGTCGCGTTCTGTTTTGTTTTGTGCTTTTGTTTCCGCCTGTATATATGTGTGTGTGTGTGTGTCCGCTATGTGCTCGCCTTGATAATTTCATTCAGCCTGTGCGTCTTCATTACCTCTTTTCCTCTCAAGAGGGGGAGGGTGGTGCACCTGCCGTGCGTCTTATTTATATTTTTTGTGACTTCTCGGCAGCTGCGAAATCTCAGCTGCTCCAAAAGCAGAAACAACAAGTCAGCTTTCGTCGTTACTGCAATAACCGGTTTTCAAGCAAACGAACTTTATCGTATCTCAAAAACTGTGCTAATAACTGGTGCTATTTTTTCCGTTCGCCATATTTTATCGCTTCGTTGCTCACATAATTATAAACTAAGTAATATGCGAACGGAGTGTGTCAAATGGCGATAATTTTCAAATGGGGACCACTTGCTAATTTATTGTGTTTTTATTCAGAAAGCGCATTTTGGCGCAGAGCAAAATAGCGAAAACTTTGCCACTTAAAATGTCCGTCAGTTGTTTTTTTTATTTGTTTGCCTGCCAACTTCAGTTGCATTTGATGGGAGCTTCCTCTTTTTCTCTTTCGCTCATACTCCTACACTTGCACTTAGAAAAAATAGTTGTGTAAATGGTAAAAAAAATCATGTAATGGAATTATTGTGATTTTTATTTATATACCTACCTACCTACCTTCTTCCAGCTCTCTCCCACTCTCTCGCCTTGCCAGCAATGTACAGGCAAAACATAAGTTACTTTCAGTACCCGAGTGTAATCTAAGTCCAACATTTTAGTTGAAAATTTCGCCCACTGCACCTAGCATAATACTACTTGGAGCAAGTAGGACGTGCAGCAGGCAATTTCTGTTGGACCTGCTGACGTTGTAAAATAAGCCAAAGGCACACGCTCCAAGGATAACAGGCTCGACATGCCACAAAATCGATTCCCCACGACGATGAAGCGCAATACCTTGGAGAAAAGCCGACACGTGATGGCTTGGCGCCTGGCTGGGAATTGGAGGAAAATGGGAAAGGCGGGGGTCACTGCGAGCAGGACGAGTTGAAGGAACTTCCTCCAACCCGTTCTGCAATGTATTTTTATTTTTTTTTTTGCTTACTCTTGTGCAAACTGCGGTAAAAGACAAACGGGAGGATAACATGCCGGAAATAAACTCGAAATTAAAGGGGACAGCTCGCTTAGATATTTTGGGGGAACTGAACTCGAAATATACATAAAATCTAGATATGTGTGTTCGTTGCATGTGGTAAATGACAACTTTGTTCCACAGATAACTTATCTACGATTATCTAAGCTCTGCTACATTTCGGGGTGATTTCAGACTAAGAACGGGGATTACCGACACACCACACTTCAAAATATATAAAATAGAACCGTTTTCCAAAGCATAAGGCAGAAATTTGTCAATAAGATATCGTATCTATGTTTATTTAAGCATTTCTTTTAAAGAACGACGGAAATTGCAAAACATCAAAGAAAATATGAATCCGTAAAGTCATAAATTTGGTTCTGTGCGGAAATAAGACGGAAATAAACCATAAAGTGGTGTGAAAAGAAGACATAAACTTCAATTATAAATACAAAAACAAAAAATTAAAATCATGAAGGAGGGAATATAAAAAAATAAATCTACAGTTTTTATTAAAAAATTTGTTTTTTAATATTAAAACTTATTTTTCTCCATAACAAAAACATCTATATCAACGCCAGGTCATACAATTTAGTACCATTCCCGCAATGCAATAATTCATCTTAATAGCTTTTTTATGTTCCATATCTTGAATGTATCCCAGAGCTCTCTTTTTTATAGTTAAGTCAACCTCTGGTTTCGCTTTAATTTATATGAGAAACTTCAGCACTAAAACATATCAGAAATTCCAACCGGAATTCCCTGGGAATTCAATCACTTTCGCTTGGCAACCAAAGAATTTTCTCCAACTTTTCTGGTGCTGCTGGTTGGTAGTTCTAGTGGGGGTAATGTGGTGGAGCTGGTACTTCAACCGACTCCAAGCAACTACCGAACTATTCATGCACATTGGGAAATATTTTGTTTCTCCATTTTATATTTTCTCCCGTCTTCTTTTTATTATTTCGTCGAGGAGCAAACGCAAACATGCACAGACTCCTGTCCCTGCTGCCGTCTGGCTGTGTTTCCCAGGGGAGGATGGGTCGCATGAAGTTGTTCTGTCTGGACTCCATCCACAACTGGCGGGTTTCCCAGTTGCTCCTTCTCCTCTGGCTAGAACGTGGCCACCATTCTTTGTTGTCTCGATGGAAGCGGAGATGGCGAGTGGCATTGCCGATGGCTGTTTTATGACGCAGTTGGTCCGGGGAAGTTGAAGTTTGTTTGCGTGGCCGGGGCTGAAAGAGTTCATTCTTCTATAATGCATTAGCCTGGCTGAAGAAGTTGTCTTAGTATAGGATTTCTCTGTTTGTTTAAAACCAACAAAACAGGGACAATGAGTGGCTGCCGAAAAAATCCTAGCTCTATCCAAAAGTTTCCGCCTCATTAAAACCAATTTGCCTGGGAACATTTATAGAACTTTTTCGCCTTTGATGAGGAGCATCCATCCATTAGCGATAGACCAGACCCCAGACCAGCCACATCAAAATAAATAAACATTGGCCAATTTCAAATTAATCGACAAAGTCAACAGCAGCTAGAGTTCATTGAATTTGCAGCTGTGTGGGATTAGGTGCTGAAGGTTGGGGAACTGCGAATAGAAGGGGATATCTGTGGGGGTTTAAGGTTTCTTTCTCTCTATGTCTCGATCCAAGCACGCGCCGTCCCCGACGATTAGTCAGCCGGGTGAAAAGTGACTAAGCGAATCGCCAAAGCATTTGACCAGCACACGAATTGGAATAAAATTCAAATTAAAACTAGCCCCACGAGAGAGGGGATTGGGTGGGTGACAGCCAATCGGTCACTTAACCCGCTGCAGGGACTGGTACAGTGAAAGCTACATTTTACGGAAATTGAATGCATTTATAGAAAAATTATAATTTAAATAGTAGTTGTATCTCACTAAATATATACAATCCAGAAACAAGAGAACCCTCCTTATGTAGTTATGTTATAATTGGATTTGAATGAATCAAGCTAGTGTCCATCTAACAGATATTCCACTGTATCGTAACAGACCAAGGTGGCACCTGGCAGACCCAGAAGACGGAGAAGTCCGCCGGTGGACAGCCATTTGACACCGAAGACTGCAACATTATCTGAAGGCAGCTCTGACTGAGGAGCTGTGGGTAAAGTAACCCCCTTTCCATGGGCGCCGGACAAAGTGGCTCGCTGGTTGCTCAATTGCTGCGGGGCAGTTGTCGAGAAGTTGACGTTTCTTTGTTTGCCACAGTTCTTTGGCCCGGGCCTTGACTCCGTTTGAATTGTCTTTGTTGCCATTAACATTTAATTTAATATGTGAGTTGAGTGGCCAGCCGCCTGCCACCGCGTCCGCCCCACACCCAACACCAACTGGTTACTGGTTTTCTAGATTTGCATAGTATCCCAGGCCCAGGAGTTGATTCGGCTTATTTGTATGCCTGGCGACAGGCCACAGCCGAAGGCCAAGCCCCAACCGAACCCAAACCGAAACCAAAGTTGAGGCTTCTCATTTAATTTATTCATGTAGGATTAGTCGTATATAAATCCTACATAAGACGACGACAGCTGTCGCTACCTAGCTGGCATGGGAAGACTTCAATGCAATTTATGCAAATTATTAGGTGGGCTTGCCAAATGTGTGTGGGGATAGAATCTCTGTTTTCCGCCAGATGTTTGCCAAATCCCACAGATCCCCATAAGTTAAAAGTTATTGTATTAGTTCCATCGAATCATCCTTTTTAAAAACAATTACCTGAAAGGCTTACATATGGTTGGTGGACTATTTGTAACTCGTCCGCCAGATGTTTGATAGCCCAAAAGTAGTTTATCCTTAATTCCATACTCGACCCAAAACAATAGGCTTGATGGGCACTCCTTTGATACCGCTGAATTTCTCGCCTTGTCCCACATTTGGTTTATTGTGTTCGGCTTGTGGCAAGTTCTTCAAATATATATACTAATTTTTTTGGTGGCTGAAACCAGGCCAAGTGGCGCGACCCTAAAAGTTGAAAACAAGGGAGAACATGCAAGTAGGAAATGCAAGACGCAGAACTGGGTGGGTTTTGGGTTGAGTGCTTGTCGGGTGGGCTTATGTGGATCCCTTTTTGGGTGGGCTCCTGGCATTGCAGGGAAGTGTGACTGCCATAAAACAAAAGATGTTTCTCTGCTTCTGACACAGATCCAAGTCCCAGAGGCAGCTTTGCTGCACTTTCCATTTCACCGCTGTCAATTGATGTCGCATTGAGATGCAGCATTGTTGCAGTTCCATTTCCAGATGGGGGGGATGCGGAACCCAGAGCGACCCCATAAATGCAAATTGTTGCAACAGGAAATGAGGCGTACCACCACGCACCCGGCAAAAACACCGAACACGCCAATTAGGTGGTAATTTATAAGAAATGTTTCGGGAACGGGAATGTGGAAGAGGCCCCGAACCCCATACCGCCGCTCCTTTGTTTGCCCCACAACGACGTCGACGACGACGACGATGTCGGGGTGAAGGAACTCCTCTGTGATTGTTTTCGTGCGGTTTTACATTATGTAAAAATTTTAATTGCCAGATTTTTAATAAAGCCCCAGGGCCAAAATGGCTCCACTTGGAGCCTTATACAAGGGCCTTTCCGACCCTGGGGGGCGGGTCTAATGCATTATTTATGCAGCTGACAGCTTTTCCAATGACTCAACACCTGTCCACACACAGTTGGTGGGGTCAGGTTTCAAGCCAAAAGCTTTTCGATTTAAAACATGAATAGAATGCCTGGAATTCGGGTTTGGGCAGACTCAGTCAACGTACCATTAACATATGTTGCATCCACAGACAACATTCTGCTTAATGCATTTTCTACTTAATATTTCATATTCACATTTATGACTTGATAAGCCCGGACGACTGGAATGAAAAATGTTTGTAAATGAGGAAATGAAAATTAAGCTTTTCATTATTTATTTTTCAAGATTGCTGTGCCTGCGGTCGGTACTTGTCGGGTCTATGGTTTATGGAACCGGTTTCATATATATTACCAAAAGAATACGTAATTCCTTGTGGGTACAAACTAATATACTTATTAGCGTGTTGGTTAACATTTAAATTAGGACTTCTAAGCTGCAAAATAATAACAAATCGATCTAAAAGAAAACTGAACTATTGAAGGCAATAAGTGTCTTGAACTTTTTCTACTATTAAGTTTTGGACTGCAGCTCTCAAAGTCATAAATAACCAAGTGGAGAGGAAAGCTTTGCCCGGAAAATCCATGATAAATGAGGTTGTGAAGTGAATGCAATATTTTTGGCAGCTCATAAAGTAAGCTAGCAAACAGCTCTATTTCATCTTCAGCTTATCGGCCTTCAACTTTCTTTCGGGGAAAACACGCAATGATTGCAACAAATTTTCACTTTCGTGTCTCTGCTTTTGTAGCTTCTGGTTTTTTGTTGTCTGGCCCAAACCGAAACAGACTCGCACACACAAAGACGGCTTTGAGCGAGCGGCTGCACTTGTCTTGGGCTAAGACTGACAGACTAAACGACCCACAGCCCCACCGACAGCACCTTGAGATTCCACACATAACGCCCCGCAACTTGTTGACACTTTGCCGAGAGCGAAATGCATCCAAAGTCATGGGTGTATGTTTGTTTGCTAGCCGCATTTGGTTACAGCTTTGAGCCCCCAGAAGACTTGTTTACTTTGGGGTTATTTTTATAAAAGAGTAGCTAGTCTTTAATTTTAAATAGCAAGCTTTAAGATAGCACAAAATTTCTAGTAACTTGAGAACGTTCTAACGGTTTTCCCAAAATTAGTACATAAATTCTATACAATATATTCTTTTATTTATTATTTTACTATTTTATATTGTCATGTTTTCTTTTAAAATCCATTTTAATAAGTTTAACATAAAACTTAATATATGGCAGTCTTATTTATGATAAATAAAAAATTGTACAGCTGTATGTGTAGAGATAAAGCATTATCTACTATATACTTCTTATTCAAGTCAGTCTTCACTTATCATAGGGTACACGATGGGGCATACCGAAGGTGCATGCGGGACTCCATTGACAAACTCGCAACGCGGATTGCTTCCCAGTCGAATTCTCATGCACAGTGGTCCCCTTTTAATGGTCGTCTTGCTGGCCATATCCATAGGATTTTTCGGGAAATTTGGCTCCCCCGCTACAAATTCACCTGTGGCGGCGTTTTCCCCAGGCAGGATGTGATCCACAGTACCCGTTGGGGGTAACATTTTAATGGATTTCAAAAGCTCTGTGAGAAAAGTTAATTGGTTTGGGAAATTGGGAAAATAGTATTTACTACCTGGATCTTGATATCGATTCAAATTTGAGTTACTTATCTCCCTTTAGACAGGCGTTGACAACGAATTCAAGGGGATTTTGAGCGTATGTTTCCCCAATAAATACGCCTACTATACGCCTACTATCCCCATAATTGAATATTGATCTCATTCCTTTCTAGCCAAATAATACATTATAAAACAAGAACAATTTGAGGTTCTCTACTAAAACATCTCTAAAGGCAATCCAAAAACCATACTTACTCTTGATTCCAACTCCGTGGAAGTGGAATCCTCAAAAAATGTCCCTTTGTTTGTTTAAAATAAAATCCATTGTGGCATCAACACACTTTTTAATGTGCGGAAATCCAGACTGGCATTAAAGAATCTCCCTGGGCGGGCCGGAGAAGCCGCCGCCGCTGCCCCATCTCATTAACCCAGTGAGTAAACAAAAATTCCGCACATCTGATTAAGTCACGGAGAGAACCAAAATGAGTTTGGAGTTTGGCATGAAAGGCATGTGAAATGCCAAGCCAAATAAATCTGCTGGGTGAAAACTGGGCGGCAGCTCTATAAATACCGGCCAATGCGATTATTTATAGTCGGAGGAAGCCCAAATGGTTTATTTTGGTTTCGGGGCATAAACAAAGTTCGAGCAACTCACGAGATCTGTGCCACACATCCGATAATATTTATACATTTGCCTTTATACACTTAGACATTGCCTCGCCCAGGTCTTGCACAATGATCTCACTCTGCCTCGTTACGATTTCCCCATTTTCACGCTTGATTAGTTTCGAGTGTTGAAAATTTTGATGGTCCCGAAATCTCATCGAAAAGTGTGGATTGATTGCTGCGCACGCCTTAGAATAGGTTCGCCGGTCAATTGTTGATTTTGGGGGGAGTGTCGTTAATGTCACGAAGTTTGTGATAAATGTTATTAAAGTAGCACCATGTTAATCAAGTCTTAATAATAAACAAAAAGAAGTGGAATATGTTACTATAAAATAAATTTCCGAATTAAAATTAGTTTCATTTTGGTTGAGTTATAATAAGTTTTACTTCTCCCAGAAGCTAGTTTCGCAGTAAAGGAGTCACTTTCGAGAAATCTGAGTTGAAATTAGTGATAAATATAGAACGTATGCCTGAAAGCACTTTTTATTATCCAAGTACATTCCCAGCACGTGCCGTCAGGTGGACAATTGCCAGGTCTTGAATATTATGTGAGCAGCCACAATGGCTTCTCATCAGCGGAACAAGCTCAGCGAATTGAGTAGCCACCAAGTCACACTCAAATGCCCTTTGTGTGTCAAGTGAGGATGATGATTATGATGATGATCTTTATATGATACCTCTGATTGACGTGGAAGAGCTGGGAGAAATTGGAGCAGTGGCAGATGCGAGGAACTACAAAACGCTGGCCTGCGGCTGAGCTTGAATGTTGGCTCTTGTGGTGCGGCGGCTGTAATCTCTTTGGCTGCACATTTAATCGCATATTGCACATTGTTGTGGCCAAATTGAATTGTTTTGCGGCGACTTCGAGTGGTGGGGAGTGATGTGAAGTGGAGTGAAGGCTAGTGGAGGTGGGCTTTTCAATCATCCGATTGATTGCCATGGGCCAGCATCGGTGCACACAGATGGCTGCGCCTCGATGCACCCACAGTAGTGTAACCACATGTGCCCTCTGTACAGTCATTTCACCCACTCTCTGCTCCCCATGGAACGAATGCACGCCTTTGTCTCCGCTCTGACTTTTCAATTTATTTGATTTGTATCTTTGAGATGGGGATATGCTAATGTCTGCTGGTTACTTGGGTTAATTTGATTTTAATGCTGGGCCGCAAGGAATGCGGGTGTGGTGGCAATCAGATCTGTGCTCGGCATTTGCCAAGAATACGCGCATCGAACAGGGGAGACTGCAATTGAATTACTCGACTCGCTGATTGATTTGTCGTGAGTGAAGTCCAAGTTCAGCGAAACTCGATCAAGAGAGCAATTGGTTCAAGGTTCAAGTGATTTTCGCCTTCGATGATGGCCAGAGCATAGAAAGGCGCTGCCCATCAACATGAACTGAACCCACGCCGTTAATCGACATCATTTTCAATCCACTCATTTGTCAGTTGAAGTGCTCAAATGCCGTAAATTTAAGTGGTTTATTGTGCTTTATTTTTATTTATATTTTTTTTTTCAAGCATTTGTGAAAATTTTTGCGGCGAATAATTGCCCCGCCGTCAACGAGACTACTTTCAGTGCCGACTTTTGTTGTTGTTTATCAGTTATATAAATCGTTTTGTGTGTACAGCCTCTAAAGAAAAGCATCTCGACGGCAATTGTGGTTGAAGATTAGCATTTATGGTTGTAGGAATCCATTGTTATCTCTCTCGTAGATGTTGTGCAATGTCTATCAGGTAGTTGAGTGCAATTAAAAGTAGCCTGAGAGAGATGGCGAAGAGATGGATGGTGCTTCTACGAGCACCCTTTCTTCCATTTGTTTGCTCTACCGTATGATATCATCTTTCCGTTGAAACCAAACTTGAAGCTGTCAGAATTTAAAAATCCAACATCTGCTGGGGTTCCAGGTCGCCGCAGGCTGTTGCTTGGCCTTTCATTAATCATCAGTGATGGTGAAGTTAGTTCTGTCTTAACTCTTAACAAAATATAATTAATAAATATAAGTAGTTACAATTTGGTATACATTTTATTCAATTCTTGTATAAAAATACTTGTCTCAATATATATTTCCCTTGATATTTAATATATTTAAAAGGGTTCTTGGGTGGGCATCTCTGGCGAATAGCCCTGCTAAGAGCTGCGTCATCTGAAACCCGACTGGGGGATGAGATTCCTGTGTCCGCATCAGTGTCTCCTGCATTTGCAATGAGTTGACTGAAAAGCCCATTCAGGGTTGGCTTCCTCCCCGCCTGGAAGCCTCCACCTAATGAGGGAGAAGGGTTTTGTGTGTGTGTATGTGTGGCCAGGGGAAGGATGCAGTGCCTGCGGCAACTAAAAAGCACATCCCGTCATTAGGAAGCGCTGGTGGAGGAACGAGGAATGACATCAGTTATGCGGCTGCCACTGCAATTTGCTTGTAATTCTTGTCGTGCTTGCTCTGCCCCATTTAATTGCATAATTTATTGATAATTAAATTAAGCTCGAAATTAAACTCTCCTCTTTGCAGGGAGTGCAGCCGGAGTGACTCAACTCCCCCAACAATTGCCGCAGATGAGGTGAACGAACTAGTGGTCATCCCGAGCCCTTCCCTCTTCGTCCTCCACAGCATCTATCAGCAGACGACCCTCCAACTCTCTGGCAATTAAGAAATCTCTAATTGGAGAGTAAGAGCTGCCGGAGCGGAGGAGGGATTACCCTCTCCCAAGATGCCTTCTCTGCGCCAGAAGGTCACCACCTATTTCCGTCAGCTGAGCTTCATCGCGGAGCCTCGCGAGGGTAGACGGAGGACCAGCGAGCACGAGGATGAGGACGGTAACTTCATAACCAAATATCTCGAGGGGTGAGTCAAATGTCTACAAAAGTTAAAGTTGAATAGAGTGGAGAGCTGGCGCCTAGAATTTTTAATTTTTAACTTAATTAACCCAATCTCTTTACTTCAAGGCGCATGCAGCGACTGTTTGTGGCAGGTCCCGAGATCTACAATGGCCAGAATCCCACAGATATGCCCGTTCTCAAGCTGGGTTCTTATGAGGCCGGCACCTGCTCCATAACAGCAGCCTGCACGGGTCCGGATGAGGGTCTGACCGGCATCAAACGCTCCAAGCTGCACCTGAGCACCAGCTTTGCGGACGACATAGACTTTATAGACACGCAGCAGGAAAACGACGATGCTTATGGCGTTAGGAAGAGTACGCCGGCGGTTCCAGCGGCCACACAGAACTCCACTCGATTGGCCAGCAAATTTGGACGTCCGCCGACTGGATCCCGGCGGCAAAGCAATGCGGATCAGCCATCGGGATCCACTTCTGCTTCGGGTATGCGCTCCCGTAAGAATTCCAAGAGCAGCATAGCCAATCTGGCAGCGGCTTCTGCTGGTACTGAAGCAGGAAAGGCCACCACCATCGTGGTGAGCATGGTGAGCAGTGATCAAAACAACAGGAATCTGTTGAATGCAAAGACTGAGTCCTTGGCGAACGGTGATTCCAACTCGGAACGAGAGCGCCTGCTCCGCGAGGCGGTGAGCAATCAGGGTGGCGCCGCTCCAGCTGCGCTGGTTGCCGGCGTGGAGAACTGGCGTATGGAGTGCGATTTTGCGTATGGCATCTCGGTGTCCCTGTACGAGAACAATATGCTGACCAAGGAGCCGATGGGCAATCCCATTGCCGACTGCTATGGCATGGTTGTGCGTGGTGACTCTGCCATCATGGCCATGGCAGATGGCGTCAATTGGGGTGAGTTTATCCTTTGACCAGCTGACCATAAGTTCACCAGCTGACCTCTCTATTACCTTCCACAGGGGATGGAGCTCGCCTGGCTGCCCGCTCGGCTGTGCACGGCTGCCTGGACTACTTGGATCGTGCGGTATTCGGACAGGCGCTGGAGTGCCGGGCCACCACCACCCAGGAGGTATTTGTGAGTCTGCTGCGGAGCTTGTGGGAGGGACATGGCTGCATCTTGGAGGTGGGAGGAGCCCTCTCCACGCTGACCATAGCCGTGGTGCTTCCGCTGGACGGAGCGCCGGACAAGTATGTGGTCTGCGCCTGCAACGTGGGCGATTCCCTGGGCTATGTGTACTCCAAGAAGCACGGAGTGCGGGAGCTTACACAGGCCTCGCATGACATCAGCTCCATGCGGGACATGCGCGACGCCCTGGGCGCCCTTGGACCAGCGGATGGCAACAAGCCAGAGCTGAGCAATCTCACCTTCACCATGAGCTGCATTGAGAGCGGCGACATAGTGTTCCTCACATCGGATGGGATTAGTGACAACTTCGATCCCGTTGTGGGCAAGTTCGCTGAGGCCTGGACCCCGGATGTCAAGCTGCAGGCATCGGGCCAAGGGAAGCCCGCCAATCTAGCGCCTAAGCGTCAGAACAAGAGTGCCTCGGCGATCTATGCCCGCCTGCATCCGTCGACGCCGCCCACCCGACCAGCGCGTCAGTCGAAGGCGAGCAGTCCGCCCAGCAACGCGCCCAGTCGTCCGAAGTACATGCGCTCGCAAACTCTCATAGAACCACGCCAGGGACTGGTTTCCTCTGCACCACCGCCCACGGCGGCTCCACAGCGCATTCCCAGATCCATATCGGGCTTGCCCCTGGTAACCGGACCTCAGAGGCATGCTCTGACCCTGTATCGGCTTGAGGACCTGCTCAGCTATGGCATCAATGGCACCTTCTCGCCGTGCTCTTCAGCCCGAAGACTTTGCCACCTGCTCATTGACTTTGTGAGAATGATAACCTCGGCCAGGAGGAAGACCCTGGAGCAGCGAGAGCTCTTCTACAAACTCTCTACGGGACCGGATGGCGCCAAGCGGGAGGTGCAACTGAATAGGATGCAGCACCGAGCGGCCAGGAAGCGGATTGTGGACAGCAGTGCCTTTGTGGCTTTGCCTGGCAAACTGGATCACGCCACTGTGATGGCCTACACGGTGGGGGGAGGTCATGGAGAAAATGGAAACGAGAACGGCGATGGAGAGGTAGCGGTTTCCCCCGTACTGCAATCCAAGGAGTTCAAGGAGACGAATTTCTAATCGCCAGACTGCAGAGATCAGGCTTTTTATACATTTTTCTCACTCACATATGGGTAATTCTTGCTTAAATGGTTTTCTTTAAGGTCTCTTGTGAATTTGTGGCTTAAGTTTGTTATATTTTTATTTGTTTTTAATGAGTTTGAATATTTTATATTATTTATAAACAAAAAGCACAAATCATATTGTTAGATTTTCGCCAAATATATATTAAATATTATGATTTTCCAAGAGGAAAGGATACGCTCAGAGAGAGCAATAAAACCAGTAATACTTTGTGTTAAAATGCCAACATTTGTAGGATTTAAGATTCATTTAATTATAATCAGCTTTTAATTGCCAACCAATGTAAAATAATCATGTTATTGATCGAAGAAGTATATACATTGAGCCAAGAGTTACCCGTATGCACACATAACTACATATATACATTTACATATACCATTTCATACTTGTATCTTTAATATTCATAAACTCTCGCTTAAGTTTTGTTGATTTTGATTCCGATACTCCTCATTTGTCAGCCATAGATTTTTAGCCATTAACTGCAATCGACAGAAATGCCTCAAATGTTTTAAACTACCAAAAAAGAATAAGATAGCACACACAGAAAAATATATGTCGTATTTTTACACTCTCATTCGAAAAGTCAACACCAGCAGAAGGGGGTCTTTAATTACCACCAAACTCTCGTAGAATTTGTAATTCTACATTCTGGCAGCAAAGACAAAATAAATAGAGAAGGTGTGTGCAGTGAAAGTTACATTTTCGTTGGAGTCTTTGATCAATTTTGTAAAACGAAACTTGAAAACCTGACAAAAAGTGTGATTTGTGCTCGATTTTTGTTTACTAAACGCTCTATTCTGAGTCGTTTTGTGAACATTTATCGATACTACTATCAACTCTAGTATATGCTACGCATCTTACTCACTTATATTGTCTTTGGTGGCAGTGTAGAAACTTTATAACGCACAGCTTAAACTGCGGAATGGGCTGTGACCAGCGGGCCAGAGCAATCGAATACTTTGAATAAAACGCAATTGAAGAACTGCGCTTTTTTAAGCACTAAAATAGTTTTGTAGTTTTAATTTTATTGGAATTCAGTGAAACCACTTTTTAAATAATTGTTTTTCTTTTTAATATGTAAAAGCATCTCGAAATTTTAACACACTTGTAATTGCACAGAAATTAAAATACGAAGCGATGTTGTCACTTCCTCATCAAAGGGTGTAAAAGAACACAAAATCAAGGTAAACTGCGTCCAAAAATCCGTAAAAGATTGATGCACAAAAGACAGGAATATATAATATCATAGGAAAGCTAGCACAAGTTTCTACAAGCTCGTTTTTCAGCTGTTGCGCATGCGCAGGAGTAGGCTGGCAATAGCCTGAGCCTGCTTGGGTGAGGCATCTTTTACTTGCTTGTACAGAACCTCAACGCTGCGCAATGTTTGGGGCTGCAATAATATTACGATAATATATTTTATAATAACAACATTTTCAACTTACCAGGGTCTTGACATCCAGCTGCGACTGAGCCTTATTGGCCAGAAGCCATAGATTCACGGCCAGTTGAGCCACGCTTTCCTTCTCCAAGTCGGCATACCGCACGATCTTCAGAAAGAGTTCCAGGGCTAGCTCCGCCTGGGAACGTTGTTGCTGGGCCACTCCCAAGGACTTGAGCTGGAGTAGAAGGGCATCCACAACCTGGCCGCACATATTGTTGACCTCTGCCAAAAACTTGGGATCATGGCCATACAAGTCGTCGTTGGAAACCACTGTGCAGCACAACAAAAATGTCATTGAGTCTTTTAAACACATGTGGTTATAATTACCTCCGCGAATGTGATAGGGAAACTTTTCTAGGCTCTGCACATATAGCATGTCCAGGCAATGCAGATAGATGGTACTCGGCGCAGTGCTGTCCGTCTTGAACTCATGCCGGCCCACCACCTCCAGTAGCAGGCGAAGAAAGTACAGGACACCTTGATCTGGACTATCGGGCACCACAATCAATGTGGCCAGCATGTTGCACAGATAGCTAACCAGAAATCGCTCTAAACTGCGAGGCTTTCCCTCAAAGTCTATAGTAGCCGCGGGCAGCTCGTTGACCAAGTTCAAGGCAGCCTCAAAGCAGGCATCGGCTAATGAAAGAAATATATGATTATTTTTTGAATAGCTTTGATCCTTGCAGAACTTGCCCTGTCCCAGACAAAGATGCTGCAGAGCCAGTTGCCCGCACAGCAAGTACAAATCCATTTGCTGCTGGACAGCTCCGATGCTGGGAATGGTTATAAAGCAGTAGGCAATGCAGGCCTTGACGAAACCAGTTGACTTGGATCGATTACGCGTGGCCAGCTTGCAGGCAGCATGGACCAGGGTCACATAGACCGCATCAAGATTACTGAACGTTCCGCGAGCCTCCACATAGAAGCTGAGTTGCTGCTCCAAGTCCCGTCCAAAGTACACCTTGTGGATGAAGACATTGATGAGCTGTGAGATCTGGCGTCGCTCGTCCTCCACGGTTAGGGCACTATGTCGTGGTCAATTATATTAGTTTTCCCATTCATAGACAAACCAAGTTACTTACTTCACGGAGTCGTTTAGGATCTTGCCGAGGTACATTAAGGCGTTCGTGACCACAGCATCGCTGGTGTACTCCTCACTGTTCTGTTTGTAGTAACTAAGGATGTTCTTGCAGACTTCGACGCGCACCGATTCCTTTTGAAAGAGATCCAGGTATGGCAGGAAGTTCGGCTGTATCAGCAGAAGCTCAATGCTTCGGTAGTTCTGCATTATTCTGCTCAGAATATTCTGCAACTGGGAATAGTGCTTCTCATAGGCCTTGCCCAGACACATCCGAGCATTCAGTTCTCCCAGAAGTCGATTGACCTCATGTACCTGTTCATTAATTAATTAAATAACAAATAAGGTGCATAAAGATTGATTGGTTACTTTAAAAAAAGGAAAATAGTTGATATATGTTTTATTTTCTTTAGCTTTTAATTAAATTAAAAGTTTACTTCTGACTTTAAGAGAAAGTGATAAATCAATAAAAATGTGATATGTATATATGATATGGTATTCTCTGACATCCCTACTTCAGATCTCGTAAACACCAGGTATCTCCTAGTCGCTTCCTGCTGCATTTCGGTTTGTTATTAATTGAAGTTACATTAATTCCTATGCGACTGCCATTATTACGCTTATAGAACTATTTCGAGGCGACTAAAATCAACAAAACCCAAGCCAACCTAGTTCAGTTTGCTCTGTATCCCAGTCATGTGCTGCATAGTCGCAAACCTTTGCAAAATATTCATTTTTTCCCTCTCAGTTATCGTATTATTTGTGGTTTCCTTGGAATTGCTAACAGATCTATATGATCTTCGAAAAGGTATGAGATTCTTTTATATAGGTTTTATAAAAATAATGAAGTGAACATTTTTTATTGACTTAGTCGGTTATGCCCCACATGGTGAAGCCTTTAATACACTCTGGATGATGCATTGCTTTTGTGGAACATTGATGACCGTACTCAAGCTGAAGGTTTCACAAATTACCCATATATGGCATTTAGTTTCAGATCCCTAATCGTGTATCCTATTCGTCTAGGATATATGCTATCTTCATTGGTGGCAACTGATGACGTTGGGCTTTATTATAGGCGGTTTCTTTAGAATTTACCTGCAGCCCGCTAAAGACGGCCTCGGCATGGGTCAGACGGTCACCAAGTACTTTATTCTCGGTAGGACCATTAATATTAAATATTTGATATTTATAATATGATATTATCATTTATTTCAGAATACATGCTGCTCACCCTTTTACTAGTCGCCGGTTATACCAGGGTTTTAAGGTCTCAAGAAGAAGTGTAATTTATATTCGTAAATTTATCTAAGTAGTTTCTTTCTTTATCCTTTTAATTATAATAAAATCGAAAATATACTTCGAAATTATTTATATGAACTTTACCTAAAGGACTTGTCTTGTAATTAATTATACGAATTATTTTATTATTCGTTATAGCGTTCAGTTTATTCTTAATAAAAGTCATGTGCTGTCTGATCAAATACCTTTTTAAAACCCTCGTTGCCTTTTCTTCGATGATAATGACTACTATCTTAACTATCGGACATTTGGAATCGGGCAATTGGAAATTTTGTGAATAAAATTACTAAGTGATAAATCAATAAAAATATGATATTAAGACCTCTTAAACACCAGGTATCTCCTAGTCGCTTCCTGCTGCATTTCGGTTTGTTATTAGTTGAAGTTACATTAATTCCTAAGCGACTGTCATTATTACGTTTATGGAACTCTTTCGAGTTGACTGATATCAACAAAACCCAACCCAACCTAGTTCTGTTTTCTCTGTATCCCAGTCATGTGCTGCATAGTCGCAAACATTTTCAAAATAGTCAATGTTGTCTTCTCAATTTTCTGTTTATTTGGGGTATCCGTGATGATGCTGAACGATTTAAGCAATCTTCTCGAAGGTAAGAGTTTTTTTATTAATATATTTATTGTATGAATAATTAAATAAAAATTTGTTTTTTTACTTAGTTGGTTCGGTCCAGGAATATGATAATTATGCCCGTAATACAACCTGGATGTTGCATTGCTTTTGTGGAAATTTGATGACCGTACTCAGGCTGAAGGTTTCACAAATTACCCATTTAGTTTTAGATCCCTAATCGTGTATCCTTTTCGTCTAGGATCAGTGTTTTCTTTATTGGTGGCAATTGATGACATTGGCCTTTCTTGTAGGCGGTTTCTTTATAAATTACCTGCAGCCCGATATAGACGGTTTTGGCATAGGTGAAAAGGTCGCCAACTACTTTATGCTCGGTAGGAGCAATCAATGTTAAACATTTTTTTTATTTGATATTAACATTTATTTCAGAATACATGCTGTTCTCTCTTCTAGCTGTTGCCAGTTATACCAGGGCTTTAAGGTCTCAAGAAGAAGTGTAATTTACATTCTAAGTAGTTTTTTTTTCTTATCATTTTTATTATCCTAAAATCGAAATTAGGTTTGAAATATGATGTGAACATTTCCTCAAGGACTGAAGATCTTGTAATTTATTATATGAATTATTTAATCATAATACTATATTCAGGCTGTGGTATAGAACCACCCACCACCAGCTAGTTCAGTTTATTCTTAATAAAAGTCAAACACCTTTTTTTTTAACTTTCGTTCCCTTTTCCTCCATGATAATGATTATTACCCTAACTATCGGACATTCGGAAACGGGCAATTGGAAATGTAATTGACCAAATAAACTGTATTTGGGTTATAACCTTCAGTAAACGGACATAGACACAATATATTATAATCATATTAGGCGTATCCATTGCTGTTTGGAAACTGCTTCCCATTCTTAAGTTAAAGGTTTCCCAAAGTATCTCAACTGAACCCTCAGAACCATATAAGTTTAACTGTATCATTTCTTCATTATCTTCAGTGGTGGATATATCAATTGATTGACCTCCGTATTCCATTAGGACTTCTACTTCGTTGTTCGGTTTTAAAGGGATTAACAATGGAGATGGAAGAAATGATTGTTCATTATGTTAAAGATTGTTAAATATAAATTTAAAGAGGTTATCAAAAATCTAAGTGTTAGTTAGGCTTATAGTGTAAGTTAGCTCTACTCTTCTTCTAAACTCACCGTGAAATACTGCGATACAAAGACCGCCCAGGTCTCCACACAGTTAATGTACTCATTGGGATCTGTTAGCTTGTTGATCGTCTCGAAGGCAGTTTTCAAGAAAGTCATCCGCTGCTCCTGCAGGGGCGCACAACTGCTGACGCAGCTGCCCAGCGAGCGCAGCAACTGGGACTTGGATATGCCAGGCGTCTCCGATGCATTGATGAGCTCTATAAACTCTAAAGCATTCGTTGCAATGAACTCTGACTTGAATGAACTCAGGATGGACATTAGAATAGCACCGCTGCAGTTGGATAAAATATAAATTATTAAAGTACAGATTCTTCATTCCCACTCTATCTTTTTTCTCACTTGTTCTTTAGCTGCTTGCACTCAGCGAGCATGTCCTGTGTGTGCAGCTCACACCTGTGAACCAGGCACAGGAACATGTAGTCAAAGGCTGGCGCATATAACTGTAGGTAGGAGCTGGCGGTGACGATTTCGGGATGCAGATTGAAGCGGGCCACAAACCGAAAGATCTGTTGAATAAATATTCACGAAATGGCTGTTTATCGAACGTCACTGAGCACTCTCACCTGGGGATATATGATGAATAGATCCTTGAAATTCTCTCTGATGTAGGTTTTACTGGGCGTAAGAGTCACGCCCATGCGCACCAGGTAGCATCGAGCATAGCTGGAAACCAGAGGGTCGGCGATTCCCCTCAGCTGATGCGTCAATCGATGTAATACCTTTTCGTACTCCTCGCGAGAGGACGACAGGAACTCATAGCACTTAAATATCGACATCTCCAAGTACAGACGCGGCAGCAACTCTCTGATGGAGGCGATTTTGTAGAACCAATTCTGGCACGTATCCCGAGCAGCCTCGCGCTCCCGCTCCAGTGTGGCTGCGGACACTGCTCCGGGATCGCCAGAGGCCTTTGAACGCAATCGATCGTACACAAGCTTGCCAAACACATCCAGGATGTCCGTAATGAGCACATACTGACTCGGATAGAACTGCAGCACTGTTGTATCCGCCAGCATCTTGGCACACTGAATGGCTATCTTGAGGGCCTTTACCCGCTGATCGTTGTGCCAGGACTGGATGAGCTCCTGCTTGAGCTGCTCGAACCGCTGAATGTACTCCTGCTGCGTTAGGTCCATCATGTGACGCATGCTGCCATCGTCAAAGTGGTCCAGTTGCTCCAGGCGATACTTCGTCTTGTCTGCCACCACGGTGTGTGCCTTGACTGCGGCGAGGGAATGGGATTCAGTATTCAATTCTAATGGATTCACTAATCCTTACTGCTTTCACTGCCTCCGTCCAGGCTGCCTGACGCCACCAGGAAGCTGGTGGAGAGAGATAGCTTTTCGTTGGTGGTGAATCGATTCAGAATCCCCAGACGCCGACTGCTCCACTGCAGAGTGTTGTCCTCCGGCTCCGTACGATCCCGCTCGCGACGCTTTGACTTCAGATCCTGGATATGGGAGAGGCAGAACACTTAGTCAAAACGCTTTCCGGTTGTGTCACTTTACTTACAAGCTCGCTAACCTTCTGCGGACTTAGGGGATCGTTAAGCTCCTCATCTTGACGCGCGAACTGCGACAGGGGATCAGTGCCCTCCAGAGCCCGGCTCAGGGGATTACTGTCCACCACCTGCTAGAAAGGAATATGACAATAAGGAACAGCTAATGAATGGGCGTTGTACCATCTACCCACCGTCACCGATTGCTGCTTCAACGGGTGCTCTAGCGTGGCCTGGCCTGCCAGATGATTCTTCCGCACCTCGTAGCTTCGCGGCACACACACCCTGAAATAGGATGCATTATTTCCTACAGTATTTGTTTATTTTCTGGAAAAGGCTACCAATCCAAGTTCGCCATGGCGTCGTGGTTGTTGTTGTCGGCATTGCAATCAGCTGTTTGCTGCCAAGCAAGGGCGTAGTTAAAACAGCTGCTTCGGGGGGTGCGATGTGTGCTGTACTCGGGAGGCGACTGTACTTTTGTGGGGTATCCCCTTTACGTAATTTTAAGTAAAAAGTTTTATTTAATGGGATTAAAATTACGAAATATGGAACTCGGTAGCCAGCAAGGATAAGATGAATAAAATAGAATTAAATAAAATCACGTATTTATATTATATCTGCACAAATGTATTATTATATATAGTATAAGAAAACTTCTAAGCAGTATATTTTAAACATATAAAAGTAAAAACATTTATTTTTTATTTAAATTTTTTAAAAACAATTTTTTTCAATAAATTATATCTTCTTTTTTTCGCGCCGATATTTTATTTCACCCCATGCTGCGCCCATGGCACCAGCGTTTTCGAGGCGAATAGCATTTTATGGCTGCGATCCACGCGAATGACAAATCCAGCTGACAATCGAAGCGACGCGTTTTGTTTTTTGAGTTAACAAAAATCTTAAATAAGTTTTAATACCGGATTGCGGAAGCAAAAATGTCAAAGTCCGCTCTTAAACACCTGAAAAGTACATGCCGCGTGTGTGGAAAGTATGCGAGCAACAAGCGCTCGCCGAAGATCTTCGAGCGGACCAATACAAAGACGATCGACTGCATCGAGGCGATCACAGGCCTCCGGGTAATTTGACGGCTTTGAATTTTGAGGGTTCGTAGGCACTAGCATCAAATCTTTGGTATTTTTCCAGTTGGAGAACTACGGTTGCCTGCCGGATCAGATTTGCGAGTGCTGCAGCATGGAACTGGCCTCCGCCATCAAGCTGAGGGAGCGATGCATTGCCGCTCAACGGGAGCTTCTTATGGGGCTGACCGAGGAGCAGCGTCAAGGCATATCACCCTTTTACCGCGCTGCCGTCATGGGCGAAGCTCTTGAGGATACGATCAAGAAGTCCCAGCCGCCCGACGATGACGAGTTGATGCAAACCTATCAGGAAATCGTGGTGGAGGAGCCCAAACAGGAAATCGAGGATACGAAGATCGTGTACGACGACAACGTCTTTTACGAGGTGGCGCAGGGCACCGGCGAGGATGATGAGAACTCTCTGATCGAGGAGGCCGAATACGACTCCATCATAGCCGAAGACGAAGATCATCAGGTGGAGGTAGACGACGAGGCTGCCGAGCTGATTGTCGGAGATGGAGATGCCGCCGAATCCTACGTTTACGACTCGGACGACGAGGTGGCCGTGCTGGACAACGTGTTGGATGATGAGTACGAGCACGAGAACATTGTGGTGAAGAAGTGCAGCCTGCCGCCAAAGCCAAAGGTTCGTGGGGACGATCCGCGTCGCCGTGGTACTGGAGGAGTGTATATCTGCGAGCAGTGCGGCAACCACATTAAGGGACGCATGGCCTTCGAGCTCCATTGCCGGCGCCATCGCGGCGACAAGCAATTCGGTTGCGAGTAAGTGGCTCTTCATCTCCTCAAGTAGTGTTTCTTAAAACCGTTTTCTCCACAGGCTTTGCCAGTCGCGCTTCTGCACCACCTCGGAGCTGAAGCGCCACATGCGCAAGCACACCGGCGAGCGTCCGTTCGCCTGCCAGTATTGCGGTCGCTGCTTCACCGACTACACCACCCGGGTCAAGCATGAGCGTACCCACACCAACGAGCGCCCCTACGTATGCGGCACCTGTGGCAAGGCCTTCACCACCGGCTACATCCTCAAGAATCACATGCTGATACATTCCGGCGAGCGTGCTTACAGGTGAGTGTGGCTAAACCACCTTGAATCGCAAACAATCTAAATGTTTATACCCAATCCCGTTGCAGATGCGAGCTGTGCGACAAGTCATTCATGCTTCCCACTCACTTGAGCACCCACTTCCGGTCCGGCGTCCATAAGCGGCACATGGAGAAGGCCGAGATGAAACAGGTACTGGAGCAGGATCAGAAGCGCGAACTCAAGGAGGAGGAGGAGGACAGCCTGCACATCTAGGCGGAGGAGCTGGAGAAGGTAGCAATATTAAGTAACACAAGAACGACGATGGCGCACAGCCACAGAGCATTTCTGCTAAACATTATTGTACACATTTATTATAATAGAATTTAATCTTGAATAAATCCAAGCTTCAAGTCCCCCAGCCAAGTGTTGTGCAACAATTTTATGCGTTGCTGCGCTTCGGGGCGAATGTCAAGTGCCCAGCAGCTGGTCCTAGCGTCCTTTTCTCGCCGTATTTATCAACAATTCGGGGAAAATTTGAAATTGAAAGTAGATTTACAATGCAGCCGAAACTGTGTCGGGCTTGTGGGAAGTCCACAAATGTGGAAAAATCAATAAATATGTTCGAGGAACATAATCAATCTATATTGGAACACCTCACCTTGCTGACAGGGGTTTCGGTGAGTGAATGGATTACCGGTTCTACCCCTATTTATAAACATCATTTCCACACACACAAAGTTCGAAAACTGTACAGTTCTACCGAATCTACTGTGCGTTTGCTGTCAAATAAGAACCAGCCAGGCCATATCATTCCGGGAGCGCTGCTTGGAGGTCCAGCGGGAACTGCTCGAGTCGCTGAACGACGAGGACCTGCTCAAGATACCCGATGACTACAGGAGAATATTCGAGCCGGAGGACCATTCGCTACAGTCTCAGATTAGTCTGCTAATCGAGGAAGTGGAGGATGGAGATGGCTCAGAGTGTGAAGCCGATTTAAAGGAATTTCCCAGTGAACTGGAGCTTCCAATAAAATCTGAAAGCAGGGAGGATGAGGAAAACAATGATATTAACAATGAGAAATATAGTGATATGTCTGAGAGCGATAAAGAAAAAGAAGAGGAACTGGTACCAACCCCAATGTCAGCAAATACCAGGGGCAGACGAAGGAAGCCTTTGCAAACCAACGGAATATTTGTTTGCGAGGAGTGTGGGAAGCACATAAAGGGAGAGAAATCATTTACACTTCACTGCAATCGTCATCGCGGCGTCAAAAATTATGCCTGCGAGTGAGTATCGGTTCAGGCTCCGAGTTGAGCTTTTCAAAATATTGTATTTATATCTGTAAAATCCTTAAAGACTCTGCAAGGACAGCTTCTTAACGACGTCGGAGCTCAGGCGTCACATACGGAAACACACCGGGGAGAAGCCCTTTGGCTGTCGCCACTGTTTCCGCTGCTTCTCAGACTTCAGCTCGCGACTGAAGCACGAGCGAACCCACACGAATACCCGGCCCTTTGTCTGCAAGGAGTGTGGCCACGCCTTTTACACCGCCTACGTACTCAAAAACCACATGCTCATACACACAGGCGAGCGTGCTTTTAGGTGTGTAGCCCCAACTTGATCCCTAGAGCATGAGTTTCAGTTTCACATTATCACTTTCAGGTGCGATTCTTGCAATAAATCCTTCAGTCGCGACATACACCTCACCACTCATTACCGCTCAAAAGCCCACAAACTCAAGGCAAGGGAAGAGAACAAGCTGCTTTCGGCAGAGGAATCGAAATAATAATATTTATAAGGAGAGCTCAGTGAGCAGCAGTATTACGAATAATTTCAACAAGGCCATCAATTAGCGTTTAAGCATTTCTTTTGTACTCATCTTCGAGCAAAGACAATACCTCTAAATTATATTTGGCTTTTTTCTTATGGTTTTAGATTGGTTCCTCTGGGCTCTAATTTGTACTATACACCAATGGGGTTGTCGCTAAAGCTGCCAGATCCAAAGTTGCATCCTGCTGCTCCTGATCCACGGGTAAAGGCACTTCTATTGTAAAGGCAATAGCCTCCGGCTCTATATCCGCTTCTCCAGACACCGATTTACCCTGCTCCGACTGAGAGGGTTCAATCTTTGACTTCTCCACGTTGTGCTTGTGCGCATTGGAGCGGTAGTGGGTCTTCAAGTGGGTTGGACGAGCAAACGAACGCTGACACAGCTCGCACCTGAAAAAAAAACCGACTTTGTAGAGTTAATCGGAGTACAAGCATTAGCCACACACCTGAAGAGACGTTCGCCCGTGTGGATGAGCATGTGGTTCTTGAGGATATAAGAATTCGTGAAGGCCTTGCCGCATGTGGCACAGACAAACGGCCGCTCGTTGGTGTGGGTTCGCTCGTGCCGCAGCCGTCCGCTGTAATTGACATAGGTGCGGTCACAGTAGCGGCAGGGGAATTTCCGGTCACCGGTGTGCATCACCTGGTGGCCTTTCAGCTCGCCGGAGGAGAGGAAGCGGGCGGGACAGAGTCTGCAACAGGTACAACATAATAACTTTCGACTTCTTTAGTAAAATATTAAACTTACTCGCACTGAAAGGGCCTAATTCCGCTGTGCTTGCGCAGGTGACGATCGAAGGAGGACTTGCCGGTGATGTTGTTGCCGCACTGATCGCAAAAGAAGACCGTTAGCGGGACTTTTGGCCGCTTTTCGCTCTTCTCAGACTTCTTGGGCGGACCACGGCGACGGGCTCTTTTCACCCTGGCTGGCGAGGAGGGTTCTTCTTCATCTTCTTCCTCTTCCGAGGAAATCATCTCCTTGATGGCCTGCTCCATGTCAGCCTCGTTGCAGGAATCCAGATGATCGACACCATCATCATTGTTGTCTTCCTCCTCGTCGCCATTGCTAAGGCTCTCCAGCTTGATCATGACCTGCAGGGGACTAGCTGGAGTCTGGGGATCGGGGCACTCTTGGCGCCGCTTTTGGGAGCGGGCACTACGGCGGCGGCGGTGCCCACATGAGGCTGACTTCTCGAATATCTTCTGGCTGCTCAGGCAACGCTCACGAAAGGCAATGGCACTCTCGAGGTCCGATTGGCAGGACTGGCACATCCAGTCGGGCAAATCCGGCTCACATTGCAGCTAAAGACGAAAACAATCCATGTATGGAGGTGTATTTACCAATTAGGGTTTTCTTACTAAAACTCCGGTGAGTAAATTTATTTGCTGCAGCGCCTTTCGCGAGCTGCTAGTGAATAGCTTCAGGGAATTCGAGTTGTCCGTGCTGCTGGCGCACACGCGGCACACATTTTGAAGCATTTTTGCCAGGCTGCCTTAAAAATAAATACGGTTAAATTCCCAATTGTAAACAAAGACAGCCACCCACGCATTCACCACGAAACGCCAGCAATAGCAGTCGTTAGTCAACACTGGCACTGCCACAACTTAACAGTTATTCAAATTTATGAATTGAAATTTATTCAAGATTAAATATTCAAGATAATAAATGTTATTTGCATTTCGAGTTTCCCAAATCCAAACCATTTTAAAATTATTTTTAATAAAAGTTGTGCTTCTATAGTTTCTGTGAAATTATTCCATCTTTGCGCTTCTGATCCTCCCTTGCCTTTCTCTGGTGCAATCGCGACTGGAAGTGCGTCTGCATGTGGGTCTTCCTTTGGAAGGAGCGATCACAGAGATCGCACTGGAATCGCCTCTCTCCAGAGTGGATGAGCATGTGATTCTTTAGAATGTAGGCATTGGTGAAGGTCTGGCCGCACTCGGCACAGACGAAGGGTCGCTCGTTGGTGTGGATCCTCTCATGCTTTAGCCTGCCCATGTAGCTGACATACTTCCTCTCACAGAAGCGACAGGCAAACGGCTGCTCTTTAGTGTGGACGCGACGGTGGGCACGCAACTCGGCAGCGCTGAGAAACCGGGCAGCACACTCTCTGGAAAAAGGGGCACTATTATTATTAGCATGCAATTTACAATTATAATCTCCATTGAGAGATGGAGACGGAGACTCACTCGCAACCAAACGGGCGTTCGCCCGAGTGCTTTCTCATATGGCGCTCGAAAACAGGCTTAGAGGTTGCATGAGATCCGCACATTTCGCATATATAAACCTGATCTGCTGGCTTCGATTTGATCCTACTTCTGTGGCCTTTCCGCTGACTAGTTGCCGGTGGTGGGGCTTCTACGACAGTTGGATTTAGTGAAAACATCTGCTCTTCTTCCGCAGCCGAATCGCATATGAGATAATTATCCGTGCTATCCTCCTCGATTAATATTTGAAATGTTTTCTGGGGCACCCTGATGTCATCGTCGCTCTCCCCATAGGTACTGAGCTGGAGGCATTCAGGTTCCATCTCGATCTCATTATCCGAGTCAGGCCACGTGGAGCTCTCCTCATCGCTGGGTTTCCACCTTTTTTGGACCTTGATGCAGAGTTTACGGAAGGCCATAGCCGATCTGAGATCGGACTGGCAGCACAGGCACATGGATTCGGGAGCATTGGGCAGCACCTCCAACTAATATTTAAAATCGAATATATGTCGGCGATTCTAAGCTCTTCTCTAAACCCACCTTAAGTCCTGTTATCAAGTCCAAATGCCTCAGCAGTTTTCTATTTTCCTCGGTGAAAAGGTTCTTGCTCTTGTCGCAGATTCTCTGTCTCCCGCACAACCGACAGCAAACTCCCAGCATCTTGTCAGCCTCGTTGAGCTCAACTAATTGAAATGCAAAGTGCATGGAAAATCTGTAACCCGGAATCGGAATCGGAATCGAGCAGCTGCTTCGACAGTCACACGAGATCGCGTATAGGCAAGGCGCCAAATCAAGAGATTTTTAAAAAGGAGTTGTGGATATTTATTTGAAAATCAAGGCAATAGGTTTATCCAGAAATTATCTGTTTATAAAAGGCACAACTTAGGGAATATACATAAATTCTTAGAGTTATAATTGCAAAGCGTACATTGAGATTTATCCAAAATAAAATAACAAATATTGGGGTGAGATTTCAACGATCAGGACAAATTACAAGATTAAAATCTTACAACACAAGGTCAGTAAACATATTATTTGTATTTCTTTAATATTTGAGTTGATTTACTAAAACAACGAAAACGATAAAGAAACGAATCACAGATTCGTCAGTTTGTTAAATTTTTGATGGCACTTAATGTTCATATTGCAAAAATTTCGAGAACAGATTAAATTATACGAACTCTTTTTAAAACTAATTAAAATAAATGTTAATAGGCACGGCGGTACTTTGATAGGTCGATTTGTTTTTTAAATCTTTGGTTAGATAAAAATATATTTATGGCTTCGTTATTAGATTTTACGCCTGAATTTTTTTAGTTTCACTGGAAATATATTGTAAGAAATTGGTTTTCTGTTTTTTTAACCTAACAACTGCAAGACAATTGTTGCAAATATGGCAAGTTTTGTTCACATTAATAATCAATTAATTATGGAATACTGTTTATGTTTTGTTCAAAACCCTAAAAGGCCTGAGTTATTTGGTTTCAGCATTTTAGATAATGATTTCAAAGGTGCGCTGTATAAGATTCTCATTTGAGTGATGTCTTTGATCAAATATTGGTTACAATTTTAATCAGATTCAATGTTGACTTTGGTTTCTGCTGCAGCCTAATCCATTTTGTGATGGCACACTTACCGAAATGACTCTCTTCCGCCTCCAAGCTGACATCTAAAGAGACACTGAGCTGATATTAGCGTCTACACATAAGAGATCAATTTGAGCTTGTTCCAAATCTTCTTGGGTAGAAAAATTAAAGTTATCAGGAAAGTTATCACTGTTCATGAGGTCAGCCTCAAAGGTATCCTCTTCTGGCGGTTCCGCCTCTGCCATTTCGGCATTCCGTTTGTGAGTGTTCGATATGTAGTGAGTGACCAGGTGTTTCTTCAGGGTGAAGGATCGATCGCATATATCGCAGCTGGAATTGGATTATAACTTAGTAGTCAGATGTACCTTATCCGACGCCGTACTTACCGAAACATCCTATGGCCCGTGTGCGTCTGCATGTGGGCCCTCAGGACGCAGGGCCGGGTGAAGGCCTTACCGCATTGATCGCATACAAATGGCCGTTCGTTGGTGTGGATCCGTTCGTGCTTCTTCCGGCCAACCACGGAGAAGTAGCGACGGTCGCAGTAGCGGCAGGGAAACGGCGGCTCCTGGGTGTGGTGGCTGAGATTGTGGGCACGCAGCTCGTTTCCGGACAGAAAACGCTTCGGACATTCCCTGGTGAATTAGTTTTAAGGGGTTAGCTCTAGATGTGGAATATACCTGGGATTGCTATCATTTACTTGCACGGAAATGGTTTCTCGCCTTTGTGCGTATATTCGTGGCGCACTATAGATGCCTTGTTCTTCTTCACAATGCCGCAGGTGGCGCACTTATGGACTTGAAGCTTGGAAGGAATAGAGTACTCTGGATCCCTTTCGCCTTCCTCATTCTGTGGAATCTCCGCAAGCTGCTCGGTTTCAACGTCGTTAGCGCCACCTGTGGATTCCTCGACGACTGAACTTTCCGGAAGTTGTACGACAATGTCCACTGTGTGCAATGGTTCCACAGGACCTCGACGTCGGCCGGGCCTCTTCGGAGTAGTTGCTGTATCTTCCTCCTTTTCCTCTTGATCTGCCTTTAGGGCCTCTTCCGCCTTCAGGTTCTCCACCTCCGCTTTAAGGTTCTCCTCCTCCGCCTCCGTCTCCTTTTTTAATGGCACCCATTTTTTCTGCTCCAGGATGCAATGCTTTCGAAAAAGTATGGCCGAATCGAGGTCCGTCTGACAGCAGAAGCACACCATGTCCGGAGCACCAGGAATTGGCTGCAACTGCTCACAAAAAGACGTGAACTTACGAGATCTATTTTTATTCCTGGTCAAAGCTCACTCGAATGCCGGTGATCACATAGAAGCGCCGCAGTATTTTCTGATTATCCACCTTGAAGAGGTCCAGGGCTTTGGGGCACAGAGTACTTTTACCGCAAACCCTACACACATTTATCAACATTTTGTCTTCTTAGTGAAAAACAAACAAATTATGTACAAACAAAGTAAAGGTGGGATTAATGTCCATTCACAGCGATCGCACGTGTTGCCAGTGTTAGTAAACGGCAGAAACGATCAGTTAACGTAACGGATTTTCGAAATATAATTTATTCGGCTTAAATATGAAATTAATTATTTTAATTTTCGAGCCTTTTAAGAATTCAATGAGTTTTTGGAGAGTTTTGTTAAGAATTCAATACGTTAATCCTGGAAATTTGTGGCCATTCACTTCGAATCCTAAGCAATCTTAGTGTTGAGAAACGACAGGTTCTAATTGTGTAACGGACTTTAAAATTCAAATAAAATAACAGCTTTTAAATCTCCTTATAAATAACTAATATTTTAGGCCATAGTAGCCCCAAATAATGTTTGATCTGTTTGTTTTATTTTGCTTGGAAGTTAGCTTAAGTTAGTAGATATGTTTAATACTATTTAAGGAATTTTCTGCAGGGAACTGAGAGCGGCTGGGTGAGGAAATTTTCCTATACGTCTGAGCAGTCGTTGTCTTCGTACGCCTTAATCTTACACTCTTTGATCTGCATCTTTTTGTGGAAGAGAATTGTGCTGTGCAGTGCATCCTCCCTTTCGCGAGCGATCTTAAGCTCGAGAAGATCCAGGCGCCGCTGCTCGACAAGGACGCGGTAGCGATGCAGCTCCTGCTGCCTCTGACGAAAGTTGGGCAAGTGGGGGCCCGTGCTGCCGCTGTTGGTGCTAGGACACTTCTTACACTCCGCTGCAGCGGGCGAGCTGCCCTTTTTACCCGTCGTTGAGCGGCGCTTGATCGGCGATGCCCCATCGCGTCGCATTGCCTCCGATAACGGGGAGATGGTGGGCGCCGAGATATGAACACTGACCAGTTCGCCTCGCACGCCCTGCTGCTGCGGAGGGTTGGAGTCCATGTCCAGCATTGCGCTGTTTTTGGGGACTTCCAGCTCGCCGGAGCAGCATGAATCGGAGTCATTGTCAACGCGAAGTCCCTGGGCAAACTTCGGCGCCTCGCCACGCACCACGCACGACTGCTGCGGCGGCAGACTGAAGGTCTCCAGCTTCAGGTCGGAGATTACTTTTCTGGACATTGAACAGCGGGAAGTGCTAGGTATTCGGTCAGATCCCAGATCCTTGCTCCGCTTGTACTTAAGTGACTCATAGGAGGGCCTATAGCGCAAACCTAGGCTGGGTTTCACGGACAGCCTATTGTCCATCTCATCCTCATCCTCTTCCGACTCAGCATCTCTATCCGTCTGCTTTGTAGGGCAAGTGGGCTCCTTTACCTCTTGCATAGAAGTGTCTGAGGATGGTTGGTTGCTCTTTAAAGCCGCTTCCTTGAATATCAACTTCTTGGCTGGCTGGGTAGACGATACATGTATGCTTTGCCCAGGGGAACGGCGATAGGTGACCACAGAGTCGTATATCTCCTCCTCCTCTTCCTCGCTGAGCTTCCACATGACACGACGGCTGCTGCTGGATATGGACTGGTCAAAGCGCTCGTCTGGAATATAAAGAGAAATTATTATTGATTTGTTTAAATTAGTGGATATATGCATATTGGAGGTCACCCGATTTCTGGTTTTTGTCCATGATGGCTGAACTAACTTTCCGTGCAGGCCTGCAGAAAGTTTCGCTGGAAATTTTGGGGACTACACAAATTTGGAAGATTTCTGTGTGTGTATGTGTTCCTGAAATATTTCTAACAATTTTGTTCGCCTCGCTCTAAAGATAATCGAAGTAATGCCCGAAGCCTACTAACTAAAGATTGAAAAATGAGCGCAACACTTGTAACTTTTTAAATTCTTTTCCAAGACAAGACGGTGGGGCGAAAAAGATCAAGTTGAAAGCCCTCTCAGAACTCTCTCGTTGGCTACTAAAGTTGCTTCTGATTGTCTCCACCAGAAATGTAAAAAAGAGAGAAGAAAGAGCGAACTGAAACGTATCTCTTAGGCCGATCCTGTGAGCTCTGCTACTAACAAACAACTGTTAATTTTTTAGTTTGGATCTTTAATTTGTATTTTCATTGAGTGTATATAATTTGTCATAAAATCTTATAGGGTTTTCTCGCTTTTGTTTATTATTAACTTATCTCCGCTTTACACGCGCTTTAAAAGTATGTTAACATTTGGCGTTCAACGAAATTACATAAATATTATACAATTTTTAAATCATTCAACTTAGGATGATGCAGCTCCTTTGGTTTCCGTATCGGTTGTCCTCTAATTAAAATTGTTCCTTTAAAAGCATGAGGTTTGTGGACTGTTGAGTTGAGTTCTGTGATCGACTTGTGAGCTAATTTCCTGCTATGAAACCACAAAAAGTTCTTATAAATAATACACAATCTTTGGTGTGGCTTAGAAGTTGTTTTGTGGACTAGTGACTAGCGTTTCTTTCTCCTCTTAAATCCTCGGTTCCTCATAGGCGGGGATAATTGAGCTTGACATATCGGGGGTGTTTCAGGGGGTTTGCCAAAACGGGCAGAATCTTTGGTGAGAAGAAGGTTTTCGCAATAGACTTTGCGGCACTATAGTGGAGGGTATTCTCTCGCCTAGTTATTAACACTCTAAAATGTTTAGTATGATTTAACTAAATTGTTTTTTGTTAGCTTTTACACTTGAATTTGTTGCCTGTTCCTTTAAGTACCGTCTTGAACATTGTTATTTACGCTATATGCTAGTTTTATATAAAGTATATATGCATTAAAGTACACACATGGTCATGCCCTTTGTCTGCTTGATCGGTTCGCATTTGAATAGTGTTTTTTATGAACGGTCTACTAACTGCCTCGCTTAGTGTTAACGATTTATTCCTTCCTTTCGGCGATCTAAAGCACATTTTATATATGATTCTATGATTCTTTTTGCGACTAGATTTCTGAGATATTCTATTTTTACATTTTTGGTTTGTAAAGATTCGAGTTATTCGTGTATTAATATAAATTATTTCATTATCTTTTTGGTTTTTGTTTTTTGTTTAAAGATTTTTTTTACAAAAAAATTGTTTTCTTAAAAATGTGAAAATTATTCAAATTTAAGTTTTCTTAGCTTTTCTTGCTTTTTTTGTTGTTGTCTTATATTGGTTCCAATTGATGCTTAAATGTTAACAATTTTTGTATATAAAACCGTTAAGTATATGTATATATATGTATGTGTGTGTTGTATGCTATCATAAATCTTATCCTTTAGGTATTAATATATGCTACATATGTTCTTTTTTTCTTTTGTTTCTGTTCTGCTTGATTTGGTATCCATTCTCCTCCATCTCGGGCATGAGCAAGTCGGCAAGCTAGTTGCCTTCTGCGGTTTCTCACTTCATTTTTAATGCATTTTGTTCAGTTTTCTGATCCGATCTTTTTGTATATTGCTAACACTTTGCTAATCACCATATATAAATGTTCATCTTCATCTCCATCAGTGGCTGGTGATGACTAATCATAAGTTACTGGACGACACAGTGAGAAAACGAAGACGATGGCGTACCACACTTCGGTCAGGTAAAGGGCAATCTGCAGCGTGCACAGGCAGTACTCCAGGCGCAGTCGGTAGGTCTGCATCAGCAGCAAGTAGGAGACGCCCACGAAGCAGGGAGCGGTCATGAAGACCGATAGTATGGCTGACCAACCTGGGGGGGCGATAGTAAAAAAGCAAAATCAATATGTAAACTAAACAATTTCTTTATATTTTAGTTTGTTTAGGCTTCTTTCCGAATGTATTTTTTTTGTTTTAATATTTCCCAGCTTACTTTATAAAGTAATTCATATTTAAGTAAATTTCTTTCTCTCTAGAATGGCTTTTGTTTTTAGTTAATCCTAAAATTAGAAGAGCATGCTCTCTACCTCGGTCGGCCAACGAACTCATGCGTCCCATTATCAGGCGGATCGTCTCAAAGACAATAAAGCTAACCATCACCGCCGAGTCCAGCGCCAGGGTATGACCCGTGTAGCTGAGATTGATGGCCTTCAGCAGACCCATGGCCATCTCACAGCAGGCAAACATGCCGAAGTAGAACGAGTTGAGGTAGATCAACACCTCATAGTTCATGCTGGGATTCGGCTTCTTTGGCACGAGCGGCGGCGGACGCTTAGGCGGCATGTCTCTCTCAACGGCGGTGGCTTGGCACCGCTAAGACTACAAACTACGACAATTTGGCCCCAAATCGATCTCCCGGATCGCTAGCTAGCACGGCGGCAGCGGCGGCGTTGCTCACGTTGGGCACTGTATTTATAGACTGACCATAATAATAACGCAGACCTGCCTGCCGTGCGGTTCGCTTGGCCATTGCAGCGGCATCACGGCATCGGCGGTCTCGCGCTTTGTCGCTGCGAACTGTGCCGCCTTCGTCGCCTTGCTGCTGTTTATTTGAATAATGTTCTGCCTGGTCGTTGTCGCCTTTTATTTGTTTCACCCGCTGGGTGGTTGGTCAGCACTGACCGGCGGATGGCCTGCCCCTAAAGGTGTGAGACTGATTCCACTGGGGTTAACCATTAACATAAGGGAAATTATATTAAGAGTTCTTAGGCGGAAAACTCCCTTGGGCAAGCGAGTACCGTAAAACAGGGTTTTATAATTTTAGTCAGAAGCTTGAAAAGCAGTGATGAAGACATTTCCGACCAGCATCAATAGGCGAGTCTTTCTAGCTAAGTTGATTTTTTACAATTTTAAAAATGTAAAAAATTACAAATTGTTTCCTATGGCAAACTGCAAGGGTATACAAATTTCGGGTTCCTTTCTTGTGTTAAAAAATATAATTCACACATTTTTAAAATATTTACAATAGAAAGTTCAAATAAAAGTCTACAAATTTAAAAGATATATCATTAATATTTTACTATTGTCTCTGGGCATTAAAAGTGTGGAAAAAATCATATTTTTCTACATCAAAAGACAATTTCTAACAAAAAACTATGTAAACAAGTAATTAAATATAATTGTATTCCCTGCATCCACATGGATTCTTTGATTAATGCTTTTATTTGAACAAATTTCTACAAGCTAAATTTACTCAATAAAAATCGGAGATTTAAATCTTTTTCTCACAAAACACAGATGGACTCTTGGCGAAAAGTTTTTAGGGTGTAGGGCATAATTGCTAACCGAGACCGAACGGACCGAGAGCCCTCTCATTTGGCTGTTCGAGCGCCAGCCTAACGTGTCCGCAGTGGCCCGTTTATATTACATTTGAATTAGAAGTGTACATTGCACCTAGGGGACACCAGCAGCAGCAACGGTATTGCACGAGCTTGCAGTTTGCATATAATTTTAGACACCATCACAGCGTCTGCTATATAAAAAGATCACAACGAGCGAGTCCGCGGCGGAGAGTCGGGACCAACATCGCAACTACGCTAGCAGCAGCAGGGAAGCTACGCCGGCGGCCACAAAGGCCGGACAAAAGAATGCAAACCAAAGAAATTCAAATTAAATGCAGCTCTGCTTTTGATATAATCGGTCGAGTCGCGTCGCGTTTCGTTACGTTACGATGCAATGCAGTTTCCGTGGTCGCGAGAAAGATCTGTGCTGTGCGGGTTATATAAGTTGATATAAAGGTTCAGTACGTACCTGGGGGAAAATCCTTCCTGCAGTGTCAGCCCTAATGGGTTTGTTTGGGTTCGGGATTCGCGATCTTAGTGCTGGGAAGTGAATCCTTGAAATGGTCGAGAGAGTGCGGTTCGGTTGGCTTAGTCTGGCATCAAAATGGCCAAGCCTGGAAGGCTTTGGCGTATCGCTGGAAGTGAAAGTGCCACAGGAAGGTGTCGTCTCGTCGTCTTCGTCGTAGTTGTCGCTCAGCTATTGTTTCAGCCTCTTCGGCTTTGTATGTTCCTCCTCCTCCTCCTCCTCCTCCTTCACTTTGTCTTCCTTTTCCTCCAGGAGGGAGGATGGCTAGAGCTGGCTTGGTCTTAATCTCGATCTTGGTCGTTGTCGTGGCGGCGGCAACGTGGTTTATCAACTGCTAGGTATATGTCACGGGGCGACACATTGTACAAATGAATATGCTGGCGTAGACTAGTTCAGCACCTTGTAGGGTGATCATTAAGGCACTCAGAATAATTTCGAGTTTGAGAACATAGGTTTGAAAACAACACAAGTAGATAACAATAGCAAGACTGGGCAGTGTTAATATTACGGATGCGGTTGCTTGCCAGCCTGCAAAAAAGTAAGGAAAAAACATATTCATTAAAATGGGGTAAAGGTGAAATCTGAAAAGACTGTATAATCTTTCGATTTCCAAGAAAATAAACTTAAAAGACTTGTATTTCAGCTTAGAGGAAAATAATTTGAGTCTTCTCTTGAATATCCCTAGGAAATCATTGAAAAGACACCTGAAGCCGAAAAGTTTCGAAGCAAACGGCCAGAGGTTTATTGCTTTTTAATAACAAAGTCCAATTGCTAGGTTTTCAATCAAAATGCCTAGGATGCTTACTTTATATACATACATATGTAAGAATATATATTTATACACATATATATGAAATAATTCATGGAAAATTATGGTTTCCGATATTCTCATTTAAATTCCTCAAAAAACCAATACAAAAATGTGCTTTTTAGTAGCTCGCAGAGATTTCAGTGGCTTATCTCAATTATAGATACTTTGATAGATTCCCATTTAATATTGTTTAATGGGCCAGAAAGGCAGCATTTCAACCCCCCAACCCACTGCCTCTCCTTTTTACTCCTGCCGCCCGAAACGTTTACACTCAGCCGAGTGATGACCATAATTACGCATACGCCGTGTGGAATACACACTTGTACATACATATATATCTATGTATGTATGTTTATATTTATGCACATGTACGACCAAACGTTTATGGGTTATGGCCGCCTGTCGCCACTGGGACCGGGAAAACAAATAATTTCGCCATGTCATCATCGGTGTGGGAGATTAATCTCAACAACAAAACATTCGGGATACTCACCACGATCGCTGAGACTGCTCTTGCGGCCGAAGACGATGCGCAGGGTCTCGACGATGCACAGGGAGAGCAGGATGCTCGCCTCGCGGGACAACGCATTCTCCCCGTAGCTGAGATTGATGGCCTTTAGCACGCCCACGCCCACCTCGAAGGCGGCGTACATGCCGAAGTAGAACGAGTTCAAATACATAAGGATCTCGTAGATGAGGCTGGCGTTCATGATGGCCGCTACTCCCTGTCCGCGTCCGCGATCGCAATCAGTTCCGTCGCTCCCGAGGTGCTGCGCTGAGCTGCGCCCTCAGCCGCCGGATGTCACCTGGGCAGTTTGGAGCAGCTTCTCCAGCTCTGCCAGTGATAGCAGCAGTATCAGCAGCAGCAGCAGCAGGTGGCTCGCCTCCCTTACGACCGCATCGGGGGGACTGGGTCTCGACGGGTTGCTGGATGTAGATGCGGACGGTGGTTGCTGCTGCTAGTGGCGCTCTTGGTGTATTTTTAATTGCGGTCTGCTCATATGTATATATTTATGTATATTTACTTATCGCCCTCACCTCCACTTTCTGGCTCTTCTTCCTCTTGCTCCCTGCTATTGTTGTTGTTGCTGTAGGTGCGTTGTCATGGGAGTCAGCGGACAGCGGACATAAGTGGGCCGTGCTTCGCGGCGACAACTCTATGCTAATATTAAGTATGTGCGTTCACGTTTATTTATACGCGTGTGCGATGTTGTGGGCTGCCACTAGTCGGTTGCTTGTTGGCGAGACGAGAAGCACATAGAGGGGCTTATATAAAAACTCTGCCCATCGGATGGAGCCTCCCGCGCTAGATATTTTCGATTTTCTTCCTCTTCCACTGGACATTTCCAAGAACGGTCACTCTGCGCCTGGCCTCACGACTCAGCGCACTTAGCAATCGATAGCTATCGAATAGAAAAGCCTAAACTTTACAGAGGGAGTCGCGTTGTCTATATCGGCCAGGTAGAAGTATTATTTTATGAAACACAGATATTTCCAAACCCGAATCGAAAAAAAACTATTGTGTCGTCCAATTGGGAATTGAAATTTTGCCAAAGCGATAGTATCGGTTATCATCTGACTTTTGCTCAGCTCTATTGCAAGGAGGCGGTCACACTGTAGATTGTTTTTGAGTTTTGGAATTTGTTCTATTTACCGTAAATAATTTAGCTTTTCGCAATGCCGGCGGATCAGATCCTGTACTCCGATAAGTACTTCGATGACAAGTACGAATACAGGTACGCGTGGTTTTTACCGTTGAAGACATGGGATACTAATTGCATTGATCTCCTGCAGGCACGTCATTTTGCCTGCGGATCTGGCCAAACATGTCCCCAAGGCCCACCTAATGACTGAGACGGAGTGGCGCAACCTGGGCGTGCAGCAGAGTCCTGGATGGGTGCACTACATGGTCCATGCGCCGGAGCCGCATGTGATTCTCTTCCGTCGCAAGCGCGTTGAGGAGGAGGTGGCGGCTCCACAGGTGGCAGCTGCGCCCGAATCACAGAATCGCGCAAATGTGTGCGCCTAAGACGGGATCACACTAGATTATCGCCACTCAGGGAGTGCTCAAGTGCTCATGCAGTATTTCATAAGTTAGCATCAGGCATCCTGATGTAAAATTAGTTTCCATAGCTTTAGGAGCTGACTAGTTCAAACACATACAAACATACGATACGATGTTAATTTCATTAGTTTATTTACCTAAAATACAATCGAAGCGTACGCCAAGTGTACAAACAGCTAAAAGTAGAGGTTTTTAATTAATTTGTCTAATTGTAGCAGCGCCACACAGCCGGCACCAGGTGGTCCGTCCAGTTGTCGTGGCTCAGATTGCAGTTCTTCCGGGCGTAGTGCTCCATGGCGTACAGTGACATCAGCATACCGTTGCCCGAGATTAAGGAGAACCACAGGAATACGTTGCCCAGCACCTTGGGAGCGCTGCGCATGAGGAACACCAGGGAGACGCCCACAATCCCAAAGAAGAAGAACATGACCGGAAAGAACATCTGGAAGGCAAAGCCGAGAATCTGCTCGTGCACCACCGCGGAGATCATGAACACCGCCAGCGAGGCGGCCAACTTGGAGCCCCGGAACACATGCACGTACATATCCTTGTAGACATACTCGTACAGCCAGTCGTGGACCACCACATTCCAGTTCCTGTAGTAGGCATCGTACGTGTGCGACGTCCACCAATCCTTGTAGAACATACGATCGCCGAACCGCAGCAGTTCTGCGGTGAAGTTCAGCCACGAATGCAGAATCAGGTAGAAGCCGCAGAGGAAGATCACTTGGCAGGGCAGCAGCATTCCGAACAGCTTAAAGATCAGCTTCGAGGCGTCCATCGGCTCCAAGCCGTACTGACCGAAGTGCTCGTGGATGTGCCGCTCGTGAATGAAGGCGAAGAGGAATGCAATGGCCACCACTTCCAGAAGGCGATTCAGGGCAAACTTCCAGCGGATGTGCGAGGTGCGTGGATAGCTGTCCCGATAGATGAGAGTGGGGGCAAACAGGAAGTATATGTAGCAGCTCAAAGGCGGTACATAAGGTCGTCCTGTAGGCTTTTCCTCATTCTCCTCCCCTGGATCCTCCTGTTTCGCTTTCCCCGCCAGGACTCGAGCCGCATTGTATCTGACAAATGCGTGCATCTTCATTAGCAGGCGAGTGCTCTCCAGCAGCAGGACACAGCCGCTCACAAAGGGCAGGTCAAACTTCAAACAGAGAGAACTGGCCACAAAACAGAACACCAGCTGGTAGCTGACGTACAGGATAAGGCAGCTGTGTGACCAAAAGTGCTGAAGAGAGCCTGTAAAGAGGGAAAAGAAGCCCATTAAAACTTTTTTTTACTGATAACTTTTAGATGCAGCATATGTTTACTAAGCGGAAAATAGCTCTTATCTGTTTTTTTAATATAAATAAAAAATTAAATTTTAGGAGATTAGCGAGGGCTTAACACAAAAGTCTTTCAATTAAATAAACATCTATCATATTGTGTCAATAAGGTGAGAGTTTAATTGTTTAAACCCGCTGGCCTTTAACTCTTATCATTATTTGGCTTAAATGAATTCGTCACCTTATGATTGTTAAGTGCCTATTAAAAGTTGTTTACAAATTACCCAAAAATAAGGGCTAAATTATGAAATGAAGCACCTTTTGTTTAAGTGCTTGATTATTAATAAACTAAATTGCAAAGTGAAACAAATGGCTAAAAAGGTTAAAACGTTGAAAAAAATATTTAAATAAAGAAATGGAGTTAAAGTAAAGTTCATTGCATCCTTGTAATCCTTAATCCTCTCCCTCTTCCCATCACTTACTGTGTGGCTTCAGCTTGTGCCTGACTAGCGCCCATCCTCGGAAGGCAAAATACAGCGCCAGGACAAAGACATGCTCCAGCAGCCATGTGCCCATCACCCAGTGCAGGCGCCTCAGTCCGCCCCGGAAGGTGCCCAGGCCAAGGTCTATCCGCCCATCCACAAAGTAATCGTAGCAGATCACGTTCAGCAGGAACATGATCAGAATAATATAGAAAATGTGGTAGATGGTGCGCATGTGCTCCACCTGCAGCAGCGCAGTGAGATACGATTCCCGCGCCACGAAAACCTTTTCGGGCAGCCGTCGCCTCTGCTTTTGGCCAGATTTCTCAGATTGGTGCGCCGGCGTCGTCGTTGGGGTGGCTCCTCCATTAGCATGACCATTTGGTGAGTCGCTGACGTCCGCGGGTGCTTTGCTGGTGACGCGATTGTGCCAGGTACTCTTGGGATCGGATTTCCCAAAGTTGGGGAATTCGTGGGCACGTAGCTCCTGCTGGCGCAGGTCCTGCAGCACGTCCTCCACCATGCAGGACAGCCGCTGGTCAAAGTCCCGCAGCATCTTGGACTGGAACTTTTGCAGCTTCTCGCGCACAAACCTGAGGTCGGGCAAACTGGCATCCTCCTCCTCCGTCTCCTTCCGCTTCTCTCCGAGCCTCTGTGGCTGCTTCTCTGTGGCCATGACTGGAGCTAAGTGCTTTGTTCTTTGTGGCTAATCCTGGCCACTTGTATGCTTTTATAGCCGCGTTACTCAACCGATCTCGGCGACTGCCCCCGGGGACGTCTGTTTGCACAATGTACGCAGCTAAGAGGCTTGCTGGCTCAGCTGGCTGTTTTCAAATCCGCGATGATAACGGCGCTTGGCTGACTTGGCAGCCAGGGCCACCGGCAAAAGGGGGGGTCGACTGTGATATATATATTTTTTATGCAATTGAAAAATAAAAATTTGTTAAAAATATAAATTAATTGTGAATTAAACAAAATAATGAGATTACTTCAAAAAACTCTTTGTATAATGTTATAATATATTTTGTTTTCCCTTTTATATTAAAGTTCCCTTTGTGAAATATATAGTACATATCTATGACACGCCACTGATATTCTCTCCTCCGTTCTCTTAATCACTCTCTTCGTTTGATCGCTCGCCTGATCGCCCGCGACACTGAGACCTAATGTTAAGTGCGCTACAATTGTAATTGAAATACATTTGGTTTAATATCTCGCACTTTGAGCAAGACGATTAGCTGTCAACGGCACTTTAATCATTCTATTCTACGCCACCAAGCGCTGATAAGCCCATCAGTCCTGTCCCTAGCCCGGTGCACATGCACTCGATTTGTTTACATGACGCTGACCCCGATTGCATGTGCTTGGGTACATTGAGCACAGTGGGCCGAGGGCTTTGGAGAACGGTACATTTCAATTTGACAAAATAACTAGCTTAACAAAACTACTTTAAATACAAGTTATATAGTCTTTGCCTTATATTGTTCCCTCCATCCTTAAATAAGTGTATGAACATAATGTACTAAAAGCTAATAATTAAATATTTACATTTAGTAAACATATTCGTTAAATATGTATATTTCCAAAACGTATGTTTTTGCATAAACTGTAAAGCTATTTAATTAAATAAATTAATATTTTTAAAAGAATGTAATTTGATAAAAATAGATGTTAGAACATTCATTTTGAAATCAAGTAAAATGGTTTCATTTTAATTTAAAAAATAAACCTTCTTAAAACCTAATTGTTCTGATCAAAAATTAAAAACAGTACCGGTTTAATACTCGGCGACATATACTTTGGGTGCACACTGACATTGCTCGTTATTATTTGCCTTTATCAAAGTTCATATGCCCCATTGATAGAGTATCATAAAACGGTTAAGATTAGTAAAGTTTTGTTATCATTTTATGGCTAAGCGCACCTGTGATCATGATGTACTTACAGTCTGATAATCTGATTGTAAGAATGTATTACGTAATTTATAAGCACACATTGTACTACTTTTCAATACAATATATTTAAAGTGTGTAAATAAATACTTAAACTTGTAATACTATCAAAAAAGAAATTAAAAAATAAATATACAACAGAAAAATATTTAATGAATACAAAATATGCCCAGGTATAGCTGTAGAAAGTCTACCCTACTGAATTATTAATACAGATAAGACAGAGAGATACAAGTAATTTTAGGGCACAGTATTTAAAATTGCAGTTCACATAAGTCCATTAAAAATGTTGACATTTGAAATACGCACCTTATTTCTTTAATAACATTTATATGTTCTTTTAACTATGATTTGTACTTATAAATTCTGATCTACAAGTTAAAAAATGTTTTTATTATTTAATCTGCATGCTTTAGCTTTTAAAGTCTCTGAGCTGGAAGATTCATCGAGAATAAATGGATACAGTATTCTCTGGTTAAACATATTTGTACATAAATTCTTTGTGGACGCCGATGTCTCTATCTGATTCCCTTTAGTAATATTTTGTTATTGGGACTCAACATAAATTTCATTCTATTGATTGATATTGATTTCCAAATATTCTCCAACAAATACTTAACAACTGTGTAAATTATGAAATTTTTAATTAATAAATTTTTGGAATGGCTGAAATTACACCATGGCTCGAGGATATTTTTTGCAGCACCAAATATGGCCCAAATTGGTAAATGCAAGAGGGAAATGCGTGTGTGTGTGTGAGTGTGTGGTGTATTTTTGGCATATTTAATTGCAAATATTTACGAGACTTTATATGCATGTGTGTATGCATCCGCATACAGATGAGTGAAATAAAAACAAATACACGAGCATAAACATAGTGTTTTGATAACGAAAAATGAGCCGAAATTAAAGCTCACGGCCATGAGTCCTGCGGTTCGCAGGATGCACGCAATGCCAGTGTGTTAGTGTGTGCCTGTGCTCTGGAAATAATATTAATACTGTGCAGACGCAATAACCAAAAATATTTATTATTTATGCGAAATAAACAGCAGCAGCAAGAAAAACTCAACGCACATCCAAACATACATAGCCATAAACCAAATATGAAATTAATGCAAAAATGACAACAGCAGCCAGCATCAGAGAGAGGAAAAAAAATAATAGCCAAAAATGGAGAGTGTAATATATATGAAAATAGGAATAATAAAAGCTGCGCCAGTACCAGGACTCGTAAAGCACAGGGCGTAAAGCGGAGCAAAGTCGAAGCGTATTCATAAACATGCCGCCTGAAGGCGGCCATTATGGAGGGACCGAAACCGAAACCGAAAATGAAACCGGCCCGAGATCCTTTGGCCAGGATAGGAGACAAACGTACACATAAAAAGACATTTTTATTGCGCCCCGTTCCAAGGAGACGAAAGCCAAGCAGAGCGGTCGGGGGGCAGCACACAAAAAAAGACGGAGAAGCAAAAAAGGCAAC